CTAATACAATTTTATGTGATTTCTGTGAAAATCTACCTTAATTTTGTAGGATGACCTTTCTTTTTTTACTATTCCCTTGACTTCTGACCCACAAGCTTGCTCAATTTACGTTTTTGAGCTACAAATTGATTTCGAAGTGATTTCGGTGATGATTTCGACCATGATTTTCGGTGATGATTTCAACCATGATTTTCGATGATGATATCGGAATTTTCAAGAAAATTTGTAGTAATTTTGGTGTAGTGTATTGAAAATGTACCAATATTTCGGGAATGGTTTACTCCTCCGGTACACCTCACAAGGTATATGAGACAAAATTAGGACAAATATAGTGTATTTTATTATATAAATTCATATAGAACTTCAAATAAAATATTAAATTTACCATAGGTAACTGAATACGATTCTTGCCAAACTTACTTTTATCTTTTTCGGTGTACTTTTTCCCACCAAATTCGGAGGCAACTTTACTGTTGTTTTTTCTATTAATGTTTGACATTTAGTTTAACATAATTTGAACGTTTGTGTTTAACCCCGTACATTACCACAACTGCTATGAGAAAAAATGTTTATTTTCATTATTTTGTTGCGTTTTTTGTTGAATAATTAAAAAAATTGTGCAATAAAATATGCATTACAAATTCAATGTTCTCTTCATTTTGTTTCCCCTGTTTTTTCTTCTATTAAATATAAATGAGTAAAAATATAGACAAACTCTTTATTCGTTTATTTCTGAAAGTGACGCGTTATAAGGATTTAGTTACCTATAAAGTATCACGTTATTGCAAATGAAACGTTACTTTAAAGGTAACGAAGTTACAATAATGCGTTGCTTTCGAAAAGTAATGAATAAACCGTTACGTTTTCAAAAAAATAACTGTATCGATTATCTATCGCGTTACTTTGCAGCAAAAGTAATACGTTACTATTTTCAAGCAACGATCCCAGGTCTGTTGACGATACTGTCTATGATACAACAAATTAGGGATGCGCAATTTTTTTTAAAATACATCAAATACAAATTATCGATATTGTAAAAAAATCGGAAAAGAAAATATCGATGTTTGTTTTTCCATACATGGATGTGTCTGTAAACATCGATATTTTCCAAAAACGTTTTTTGAAGAGCAAAAAAAAAAGAATAACGCTTAACAAAAAAGAATTCAAACCATCAATTGAAACGTGACGCTTAACAAAAAACCAAAAAACATTGAAAAGAAAATCATCAATGTTAATTGAAAAATCGATGTTAACAAATAATATCGGATAAAAAAAACTCGATGTTAACTAATAACATCGGATAAAAAAACATCGATGTTAACATCGATAATCGAAACCGAAAAATCGATGTTTTTTAAACATCGTGTGCATCCCTACAACAAATTTCCGAGGTATGATAAAGTCCTCTGAAAAATTGCATTTTTAGTTACAGTTTGTACGTGTCTTCTTATTTCATTTGCGCTTTGTTGTTGCTAAGCAGTGTAAACTTTGTTAAGGTGCGTTTATACGAATACAAGAAGTCACTTTGAAAAAATTAGGATTACATTTTACATTTTGTCTACAAATACTAGAACCACAGATCAGGGACATAAAGATAAGAAACGCAACGACCGCAGCAATGATGGAGTCATTTATGAGTCTCAGATGTTAACTAAAGGTACACGCCATTTGTAGACAGACAGACGTGGACAGTTTGTAAATATAAATATCAATTAGTTGTATGTATATCGTAGACGCCTGAATTTGAATTTTAAATTTTGAGTTCGTAATTATTTTGTTAGGCTCTTGATGAACTAAGCGAAATAGTTGTGGTTGTTTTTGTGTGAAATTTCAGGACAATAATTATATTTTGTAATATTACAATAAGTCTGAGCACGTATTTCACACATAAATAAATTTAACAACCCCAATGTAGCGTTCTTTAATTTACCAAAGTAAGATCTAGCCATGTAAGTAACACAAACAGTAGCCGACTTTCGTCACAAAGTAGGTAATTTGAAAGAAGATTTGATATAGGAAGAAAAATATCTCTGAATACCCATTATTCAGTTTGCACTCAACATTTTTATCAATGAGACACCGTTGGCGATTCATTTGGAAAATAACAACAAAAATGTTAAAGTTACAAAAAACGATCAAAAATTAAAAAATATTTGTCATGAATAGATTTACAATAATTAATCGATAATAGACTGTATGTGTAGTAATCTTTTTAATAAATAATTTAGTGTAAATAACATTCTTTAAATTTATTTACCAGAACATGAGAGTGCAATCGATATTTATACAGGGTGTCCCGAAATTAGTCGGTCATATTTTGACAGCGTAATCTACATCCTAAAATAGGAGTAAAAGTTCATATAAACATAGGTCCGAAGACTTTCAGTTTTTGTTCATCTTCGTAGGTGAGTTAATTAGGGGGGGCTTAGGGTAAAATTGCTCTAAGTTTTTTTGTTGACAGTTTTTAATATTTTTGACTATAAAATTTGGAAAACCAACGTTTTTTTATAATAACGCTACTTTTGTTGCTTCTCGCTACGACGCACCATTTTCAAGAGAAAAGCATTTGAAAATTTCATGAGTTAATGTTCTTATTCGAAAGTGTACACAATAATTAGTAGGCATGTGGAATAGGAAATGTCTTTATTTGTTTGATATCCATGAAAGCGTCACATAGTGGGTCGGATGTTAACTGCGTTCAAGCTGGGGCGTTCAAGCATGGGCTTCTTGTGAGCGTTATATCTTTATGTCCCATATCTCTGACTAGAACAATTTACTTGCGTAATTTATAAATAAATTTCCCAGTTGAACATTGGTTTTTAGCGCTTTTAGAGTTTTTAAAGATAATCCAAAACAGGTGCAAATTCGTGAAACAGATTCTTTGTTAAAAAAATATATTATAACAAGAAGCATAGAAAATATTTATTGGATAACTCCTAATATTTTTTAATCAATATCATTTTCTTCACAACTGGACTCTGATTCAGGCCTCACTACTTGCCTAAATTAATAATTGGTTCTAAATTAGAAACATCTAATTGAATGTATTTTTACCAATTGGAAACAATTAGTATGTCTTACATAATTGTTCCACTGAGTATCGGAAACATTATTCAAAGCTTCTGACCAAGTCTGAAATACATCTTCCGGTGACTTTTTGATTTTTTTGTCATAAAACCGTTTGCATTGTGACCACACCATCTTTATCGCATTGGCTTACGGGGATTGACTTATATCAATGGAAAGGTCAGAATACAAGCTTTACTTTGATCTAATTATTAATCCTCAAAAAATAAAGAGCGGGGAACAAGAAATGGTTAAACAAAAAAAAGGCCGGTTTTCACTCGTGTGATCAATTTTCCTCATTTCTTGAAAATTATTACTCTATTAAAAATAAAATATATTCTGAAAATAGACCATCTAAGCTTTAAAATGATGTGCATTGGAAATCAATATAACGGATCATAAGATTATAATTCGCGCTTGTTCCGAAGATTCTACGGAACTCCGAAATCGGCTAAAACATGTAAATAAACAAATCAATTTTGTATTAAAACGAAAGAAAAGTATTACAAAAAAAATTCTGAGATCATTCAAGACCCCCCAAGGTCCCATTATAAAGGCAAAATTAGAATAAATTACTATGTTTAAAGAAAATATGAATAAATTAATGAAGCAGTCTCTAAATATTGTTGAAAAAAACTTTGACCGATTTTTAAAATATTTTTGGCAAATACAAACTGACTTCAAGTCACATGGAATTGTAGCTACGGGTTTTCCCATTGCGATGAACTTTGAATCATCGGAAAATATCAATTTTTTCCCGAGATATGGAACAGTTCGTCCGCCCGCTTACATGTTAATTCATAGAAAGCTGAATTCCTACAGGTAGAGCAGCAGCTGAAATGAGGGGACTTTTGAGTGCCATTATCTCGAAAACTATTGAATTTTCGAAGAAAATGATAAGGGCCATTTTTGTAGATAATGAGCTGAGCTTAATTTTTTTGTCCGAACAAAAATTTTCTAATTGGCATATTCAGTCAGATATTAGGTTTTAGGGGTCCATTTTCAGTCCCTTTCGGTACCAAGAACGCGTTAAGGATTTTCTCGTTTTAAAACACCTGCGATGACCTACAAATTGCGCTATGTGGGAACTCATCAGGGAATTTTCTACAGGTTTGGCCCTTCAGTTACTGGACTATTTTGGTTGATCATTAAATCGTTTCACCATTTTGTTGAATACTTATAAAAACTTTTGAAATATCAAAATATACAAATTTTTAACAAACTAACAAATTCAAAATTATTTTGATGACTGCCACCTGACATAATAACATGATGTAATTAATCTACGACGTGCCAAAATCTAATAACTTTTTGTTTCATCCATTTTACATTAAAACAATAAATAAAGCGAATATACTTGGGATATTTCCGAGACTATACTTAGCCGACGAAATATCGTCTAGTTCGCGCATGACGTATTGTGGTGTGGAATATGACTGATTAGCCGTGAGTAGATTGAAATTTATTTTAGCGCAGTTTTCGATCAGCTGATACCTCAAATTTGTAAAAGCCACGCCCTCACACCACAATACGTCATCGTCATTGTGACGTAGTATCAATCTGCGTATTAGCATACCTTTTTTTATAGTATTCATGGATATTGTCATAATATTTACATTGATGACGCCCTCTATACGTGAGGCCAGATACTTTCCAAACTAATTTTGTATACCATATAAATAATAAAAAAAAGATACCATTACGTCACATTTCCCGCATTGACGCCACCGTGTACGATTAGTTGATACGATTAGTAATCACAACAAGCCAATTCACCAACGCGACGCTACTGACACTGTTCCGCTAACAGCGGACCAGTGCGTATCGTGACGTAATGGGGATCTTCTCTATTCGGGTTCGGCCCTAATATTAAACGTATTTCTAATTAAAGATTAACCTTAGTCAAATATTGTATATTGTTCTCCTTGCCGTAGGTAAGCACGGAAGAAGGCGAACGCAAAGCCAAGGAACTTAACGTAATGTTCATTGAAACGAGCGCCAAAGCGGGTTACAATGTCAAACAACTCTTCAGAAGAGTAGCAGCAGCTCTGCCAGGCATGGACTCCACGGAGAATAAGCCGCCAGAAGATATGCAAGAAGTCGTCTTAAAAGACACTCCCAATGAGCTTAAGGATCCCGATGGTGGTTGTGCGTGTTGACTCTGTATCTGTCTAATGTCAAAAATTATCCACTTCTGTGCTTGACTGCGTAGGTACTGACACTGACCGTTCTGTAAAGTGACTACAAGCAATGATAATCTGTAGCTATTAACTTGGCTTCACTCGTCTTTAAAAGCATATTGATTTTTGCTCGGGATTGGACGATTTTAAATTTACTTACTCCTCGGTTTCCTAATAAATTAGCTTCTTTTCAGGTTTCAAACTCATCTCCTCCAGTTTTTTTAAGAGTAAAAAAGTAAGTTTTAAGTGAAAATTAATATTTTTGTATCGAATGTGATTGTTTTTTTGAGCGTATTTTTAACAAATCTCAAATTTTGGTGATTTTTTCGTACTTAGTTTTAAGAGGACATGCTTTTTGCACAATTTCGATTCGTATTTTTTAGCTCAAGTAGGTAGGATATATTCTAAAATGGAGTGTTCGGTATGCTTTTAGACATGACGTGAGCCGATTTCTGTTGGCTGCTTTATAATTCTTTTTCGTTTCTACAATAAAGTCAATTCGAAAACGTTTCTGGGGTTAGATTTGTATCTTTTTTGCGACAATAAGGGGCTTTTGTAACGATCGACTTAATATCTAAATTTTCACTTTTATATTCCACAGAAGATTTTGATGTGTGTACAATTTTAAACGGTAATTGTAGCTGGAATCTAATCTCAGAAACCTAGGTGTTAATTTTCACAACTTGAGGTTCACAAAATAATACAGGGTACCCATTTTGCAAGTTATCCATAAATTAACACGGAAATATATATACAGGGTGTTTTTTTAACATGATATGACTTTTTTTAAATTGGAAACCGTAAAAGATTGAATGGCAAAAATGTAGCATCTCTTATATTTTACGAGATTACAAATAGCAGTGCTTTACCATTTCAATGATGGCGGGTGTGGTTTTCCAGGTTTTCCTCACCTGTAAGTCAAATGACACCATCAATCATCTTTAAGTCGCCCCGGAGCGCCACGGCAAATAATAATAATACCCGTTCCTTCCCCGGACAAGCTCAGTTGGCTTCAGGGGTTAAAATTTTCTCGTAAAGGGATGAATTAGAGAGAGTATTATGGCGTTTCCTCAGCTTCAGTTTGTTTTTGTTTGTTGCTGTATAAGCGTTTTCAGAAGAGCGATGGTTGTAGCAATTTGTCTTTTCTCTTTTTCTTTTAAAAGTTTCGCTTACTATAATAACTCCCGTTGCCGTTGAGCCTTTAACTGATTTTCTTCACTTTTTCTTGTTTCTTCAGATTTTGCTTGTAGTAAAGCATATTTCTTAAGTTTTGCATCAAATTCTTTCCCCCTTTTGGAGTTTTTTATTTCTTCAAACTCAGTTTCGAAGGCTCCTGGAGCACTTAAAGACCTCCTAAACGTTTCCTGTCATATGGAGCCAACTCGTTTTGTGGACCGGAATGGTTTTTGTTAATATTGTGATGTTTGTTTATTTTAAACAACAGTTTATTTATTAATAATTTATTTAAACACTTATTTGTTTACAACACTATTATTCTAATTTATATATATTTCGAATGTCTCTAAACTGTTCACTATTTATATTCACTCTCCATATAATAACAAACTCTGATGGCTCCTCCACCAATTTATATACAAATTTAATAAATTGGCGAATGTTCTAGTAAGTTCACATATTCTCTCCAATACACTAGAAACATCTCGTTCTTTCTCGAACATCATCGAAAGAACCTCCACCATAGTCGTCCCATAGGTTTGGTCTTAAGGGGTTTAATTATGTATAATAAGCGGACAAGTTGAGCCTCAAAGGCCAAATAATACAGAGAGGGACTTGGAGTATTAGAGCATGACTGAATAATGAAATGGCTCACATTACAATATCATGGTATAAATTTATTATACGGTGGTGGGTTAAATCTAGTTCTTACAGCCAGTCCTCAGTCATCACTGGTATTATTTTCATTAAGTGGTAACTTGAAGGGGTTAGCGGGTTATTTAGAAGCACAGCCAAATTTTTTACGAGCTACTTTTAATAATTAAAATACTACAGCAAAAATATTATCCATTTTTAAGATCGACCTTTACCCTATAAAACCGATGGGTATTATTTTTGTTGTAGCCCTTTTTTTATTAAAATGCTACATTTCCTAAGTTAACGGTATTTTTTTTTTTCTATACCGAAGTCGTCACCAAAAAAGTTAATCTTCATAAAAAGTTCAGAATGGTCTAAAACCTAAAATACAACCATAAGATATCACATATTTTTAGTCGTATACGAGGTTTGTCAAAAAATATGAATTTTTTAATAATACCCAATTTTGGTATTGTCGTATGTCGTTTTGTTGGCGCCTTCTTTTTGTTATTTAATCCCCTTTCTATTTCTTACAGTTTCCATTATATCAGTGTTAAATCAGGTAAAAAAAACACCCTCTAAACATATTAAAATTTTCTACAAAATGAAAATTATTCCATAATATAAAATAAATGAATTCCAAAATAAATATATTTTATTTGTAAGAAAGAAGCCATAGTATTATCGAGTTACATAAAAATATAATATATATAAAAAATATGCAATAAAAAATTAATAGATTTATAATTTACAGAATAGGTACTCAAAATATAATGCAAAGTTGTAAATGTTTATTTTTTGTTTGTTTATAAGTTTTGCTTCGTTTCTATGTTTTTCTTTCAACAGGTCTCCCAAACAAAAAAATGGAATTGTTCTTAGTTGGGTGATTTTGTGATATTCTTCATAAATGATCTGCTTGTCGATTTATGGTGATGGCTAGAAAAAAAAAACGATTTAGTGCTATAATCTCGTTTATTGCGTTCCTTTAACAATTTTAACATTATTACCTTCGTTATACTACTCTCCATGATCCCTACACAGCTTTATGCGAAGTGTCTCAAATATCGTTCCTTTCAGGGCTCATTTTACCTTGGGTAATCGAAAAAGTCACATGTTTATGTTTATTTCGTAAATAAACGTAATGTTTCATAACATCATCTTAAATATGGTACAATTTAGATAAAAACAGAACACTTGATATACATTTTTACATTTAAAAAAATCTTAAGGTGTTTCAAACTATTATACACACAGTTACTAGAAACATAAAAACACTTAAAAGTCTGAATCTAAGGTCTGACCCTGTAGAAACTCATTGATGGAATAAAATCTCTTATCTATTAAGAATTTTTTAACTTTTACCTTAAATGTATTTAGCGGCAGATTTCTTTTTCTGTGAGGAAGTTTGTTGAAAAAGGCTGGTGAATAGTGAAGTATTGAATTCTAGATGTTACATAACATGCTAGTGTACCATTTGTCATTTTCTAGCCACACCTCTAATTTGATATTTCAATATTACAAATTTTCGGCGAGCAGATCATTTAAAAACCACCCTAATTGTCTGAGAGTAATAATTAGAATTCGTAATTAGCTAATCGATAGTTAACCAAACTTTGGTTGATTATTTTAAGCGGCGTGCAGACTAAATGGTTTTTCGAACCTAATAAAGTACTTCAAGCAAGGCTTGTGAATTTTTGTAATTAATTTATTTTTTAGTAACTAAAATATTAACAAAATAATGTGCTAATAATAAAAGTAAGTAAATGGGTAGAGAAAAATCTTTCCATTGTATTACAAATGTATGCCTTAAAATTTTGGCATCCCTGATATTAACAAAAACGATTTTTGTCCACAAAAGGAGTTCTCTCTCTATAATGGCAGCGGTAAGTCTAAAAAGTCTTAGAGTGATCCGGAAGCCTTCGAAGCTAAGTTTAGAGAAAGAGAAAAACTCCAAAAATAGAAAGAAATTGATGCACAACTGCAGTGGGAGTTACTACAGGAAGCGAAACTTTTAAAAGAAAAGGAGGAAAAACAAGCTACTACAACCAACGCTGCTTTGATTGATACAAAAGACGCTTATGCAGCAACACATTAAACTTAATTGAGTCGAGGAAACGCCATATACAAACACGCTCAGTTCGAAGTGTTTTGGCTATAGTCTTTTGCCTACAATTATTTCAGATTTTTCTCCTACCCAGTATTTACTTATCTGCCGACGTTTAATATTTTAATCAAATGAAACTGTTGAATGTATTAATAATTATTCAAAGGTGTGTATACAAAAAAAAAAAGGGAAAATATTAATTGACTGGAAAATATGCAGACGTTCTTTTTAACTCGCACTGTATAGATAAAAGTTCAAATATTTTGCTCATATTAGTTCCAAGTCATACTTTTGTTTTAAAAAAATCCTCAAAATACCTTGACGATCTCTTTGGATTTGTTTTCAAAATAAGTGTAATGTAATTTTGTTTTTGACAGCTTTTTCAATGACGAAATGAAAAATTTGACTTCTTTTAAACGAATAAAAGGATTAGAAGGTGTTTTAAGGATTTTTTTGTCGATTTTACAGGTAGCTTCGAAAAATTTGAGAGGTACTTTTTGGCAGCTTGACACCACGAACAATAATAATGGTGTCAAATTGTATATTTTTATTCAATTACATGGGAACGCTGGAAAATTCGAAATATTGACAGAAATACTATTATTTGGGTGTGTTACAAGTTTTGTCGATATTTCGGATAAAAATAGGATCGGCTTAATATAATCTATTAGATAAACTAATTATATGGCTATCATTTGATAAAAACAGTAATCGATAAACTGCTCTGTATCATAATTCAATGAAAGTATCTTCATATTTTGAATGCTATCTGTAAATATATTGTTAATACCTTATTAATTTATTATATTATATATAGATATATTATTTAAACTAGTATTTAAGATAAGTTTTATATTACTCATAGCAATTTATTTCTACTAATCGATAAGATTTACGTGTACATCTTGATTTTTTTCTTAAATTGATGAAACCTCAGGCTATTATATCCACCAACGTAAAGCTTTAAATATTTTCATTAAACAAACATTTTTTGCTATAATGCTTAAAAATCAAAGAGTAGTAAGCTTATAGACCGTGCATGAGTTTTTATATAGAAGTCAATATTTTTGTTGTTTTTTTGTTATTGTTATTTCCCATCACCCTGTATAGTTGCGGACTTGATGTTATGCCAAACATTCCAAAAAAAAATCTTGATAAAAATATGTTTAGAGATCGATTATTTTGACGAAGTATACAATGATAAAATTATAAATGTTCAATGCCGAAACTGTACAGTTTGGATACTTTCACGCACTAACTGGATAATGTAATGAAAATGTTATGAGAATAAAGATGTACCTAAGTAATTTTTTTTTTTTCATTGATCCTGTTCTTTACAATACGCCATTTTAGTGATGATGTAATTATAATTCCACTGACAATTAAAGTGACAGCAGATTTTTTGAGTGGGTTTTGTTCGTCTTGTTTACCTAAATTTTATCGTTTTTCACTTTTATAAATATATTCCCAAAGTAAATACATAACATGCATCAAATATACAATCGTTTAGTTACCAATTACATACCTTTTAATTATTTTTAATGACCTGCATACAATATTTAGAAAAAAACTTAAACAGTAAAAATCTGATGTGTCCAACACATGAATTACCTATCTAGTTATTACAGGCTTTTTTCGGTTATTTTGTACAACGTATTGTAGCACCTCTGTAAATATTTAGAGGTTAACTTAATATACACATTTTCCACATTCATCTAACTCGAAACATATTTCTATATACACTCATTGCCAACGAAAATACTGAAAAATTTAAATTTTATACTTTTCCTCCAATTTTTCCATTTTAGAAAAATCATGTAAAAAATAAATTATAGAGATCGATATCGCAAACATCTTTTAGTTCAACAATTTTCTTAAAAATCAGAATTTTTTACATTTTGAAAAATCTCGAATACGGACCATTTTGGGAAAATTTTGTAAAGAACAAAAGTTATAGAGAATAATAGAAGTAACTTTTATTTAAACAATTTTCTTTTCCAAACAAAAATAACTAATATATTCTATAAAATATAAAAACGACCCTCTATAAAAATGATTCCTATACTTTCCTTATCTGTATACAGATAGGAAAGTAAAAACGTATATGTCAAATTTATTGATGTTTTTGTTAAAAGTTTGGTTAGAATTAAATGTCAGTGGAACCAAAATGACATCACACTAAACTGGCGTATAGGCTGTGTTTTAAAAATACATAGATCGAATATATATTATCACGGCAGTGAACGTGTTAAATAATGTAAATTGTAGGTATGTCTGGTCATTTAAGCCATTTTTGACTAGTCCGGTCATGCTCTAATCCCTTTTAAGTCCCTCTCGGCCTTGTTTGGGTTTTTTATGGCCTCCATATTTCCTGTTACCAAGGATATTCTATCAAATAAGTAAAACTCCCGAAACCCCTAAAATACCAGCATATATAAAATTAGGATCACCTCGTAATTAACATTCATTTTAGACATTTTGCTTGTATAGAAAAAATTGTTTTGTTCAAAGTTTATTGAAAATAACGTATCTGGTTTGATTGAGTGACAAAATGTATTTAATCAAGCAGGTCATGGAAATTAAATGTCACTAGTCATTTAATTTATTCATGTATTTACTTCTGCTAATAAATAATATTTTTTTTTGTGTGTCATCGGCTTCAACTGCTATGCGGTTATTTCACCTCGTGTTCTGTGTCGGCTTTGTTACTGTTTCCCAGCGCCACTTTAGGAACAGCACTGTTAATTAGAACCCAACAGTGAATGGTCGAGTGGGGAATCCTACCAAGGCATCATAATTAATTTTAAATAATTAAATTAAATGAAAAAATCCCGGCCAACGGTGGGATTCGAACCTGGGACCCTTGGATCCGCAGGCAGAGGCTCTACCACTGAGCCACCCACCCCCTATTATTATTATTATTGTGTAAAAATTCGTCGCAACGTTCCTGGGGCTTCGACACACCCAGTACATTACGCGAAAGGCCTGGTCGCTAAGAAGATCACTCCTTACATCCGCTCGGTCAGTGATCTTCGGCCAAATTCAATTGCCTCAAAAGACGAAGGGACCCAAGGACTACCGCTTTCTGCATCTTCACCACTAGTTGTTTTGATGAGTCTCGACAAGTTGGTATTTTTTGTAGCTCCTTGAGCATAGTGTCCTTGATTCCCCTAAAACATCCACAATTAGGACTACCATTCGTACACTATATTCTGGATACATTCTTTGCAACTCGCCAATCAGTGGAATGTATTTGGCACGCTTTTCCCTCTCCTTAATAAGAATGTTGGTTTCAGGTGGTGCAGAAAACTCAATTACAAACACTGAATGACTCTGCTTGTCCAACAGCACTAAATCGGGCTTGTTAGCTTGGAGTCTGGTTGTTGTGGGAAAAGCGTAATTCCAATAAATACGGCAACTGTTATTTTCCACTACCGCTTCAATTTCGTCTGGGGCGTATGGCAGAACTGGTGTCTCATTTATACCGTAGTGATGTCTCATCTGGTAGTAGAGAACTCGCAATGCGGCGTTGTGCCTGTAGATATACCCAGACACATCTTGCACCGGGCAAACAGACAAAAGATGCATTAGTGTCTCCGGGTATTGTTGGCATGTTCTGCATCTGACATCCGCCACATGCGTAAATTGAGCGCGGTATACGAGAATATTAATTACGCCATCCTGGCAAGCTAAGAAAAATCCCTCTGTCTCAGACTTCAGTTAAGCTGTAAAAAACATCGTGTTCGGGTTTGCTGACGTGATCTTCCAAGAGCAGCTGCTGTTCTGCTGCCCCAAATAGACATTTTACTTGAGCGGGTTCCAACCTTGTAAGAGATTGGTTGTTATCTATTTCAAATCTGAGACCTAGTTCATCCGCGGCTTTACCTGCAACTTTAAAAAGAAAAGCACCGATACCAGTTGTTTCATGGTCTCGAACCAGCTGCAGTAGTGGGTCCGCACTATTGGCTACCTTGCAAGTCAAACTCACAGTTAATCTATCATGCAACCTCTCCAGACTCAGAAAACCTCTGCCCCCTTGATGACGTGGAAGGTAAATGCGTGAGACCGATGAGCGTGGGTGGATGCTTTTGTTCATACGCATCATCTTGCGTGTGCTTACATCCAGTTCCCGTAGTTCCTCTCGCCTCCACTTGAGCACGCCTAATCAATACAAGAGCACAGGAACGGCAAGCATATTAGTGGCAGCAACTTTGTTGATTCCGGAAAGCTGGGATTCCCATATTTTCCGGAGACGCTGCCTATACTTACAGGTTTGTTCCAACAAGGATCAGAAACCAGTCACTGACACCAGGATTCTGCGCAGTAGATTATTGGGACCATCAAATTATCAACTGCGCAGAATCCTGGTGCCAGTAACTGGTTTCTAATCGTTGGAACAGACCTTACTACGGAGAGTTTTTTTGACGTTGTTAGTGTCATGCATTCGGTGTTGATCAACACCAAGATACTTGTAAGTTTCGTCATCTTCCAAGTGACAAAGTATGCTTCCGTCAGTAAGTTGCTCGTTCTCAGGCTGGTCTACGCAACGGCCTTTCTGAAGTCTCAGAACGGCGCATTTGTCCAATCCAAATTCCATACCGATATCCCGTGTATATTCTTGCACCACCTTCAGAGATTGTTGTAAATCTCGGTCGCTCATCATAGCATAGACCTTAAGGTCGTCCAAAACAGATGTGTAACCTTGTGTGTGCGATTCCCAGGTGTGCCGCATTGATATCCGCGAGTTTGCCGAAGAGCTACCGATGTCTAAGCCCGTAAGACAAAATCGGAAAACAATACGCGACTCCAATCCTGCATTGTCCAAGCTAAGCGATCTCGTGAAAAATTAAATCTTGCAATTCGATGTTCACGGGAAAGCGGTGGTCCAGTAGCCCTAGTTCGGGAAGATAATCCAGCAGCATGAAGTCGCCTCCTAACTGTCCACTCTCCTTTACATTTCTCACTTCTTGCAGATGATTTCGAAGGGAAACTACTGTGACCATTCGGTTTTTCAAAACACTAGAAACGAGAAAGCGGTCGTCTCTTTTGCTGTTGTAGTCCTTCCTCGTCCTGAACCAGGTTTTCGAGTGAGCAGACCAGTCTCTTCGTATCGCTGAAATACTCGCGTTGGACGCTGGAGAGATTTACACCAAAGTTTCTCGCAATTTCGCCCATCTTTTATAGCTGCCACAATTCGCGCCGCAACAATTTATGGCCATTTTAAGACACTAATCAATCAAAAAATAACGGAAACAAAAAAATATGCTGATAATGGATTTCTGGAATTTGGTTACAAGTTCTTTGTCAGCTTATCGAAACAAAAAATCTTTTTTTATTCAAGCAATCACCGCAAAATTTCTAAAATAAATGCGAATTTCGGGGTGATCCTAATTTTATTCTCGGCAGTATGTATGTTCTGGTTTTAATGGAAGAGGACGTCTAGAATTGGAGAAACGGCTCATATGCATATCAATAGCCCACGTTTGCTGTTATATAGTCAGTTCAAGTTAAGATATCGCAGAAAAAGTTTAAATCGAAGAATACATTGTGGAATACAATTTGTTTTGATATGAGGAAGACTGAAATGATTTAGACTAATGGGTGAGATTACAGAACGTCTGCAACTTTGCAGATCTGCAAATATGGCGGCAACTTTGAAAATCTGCAAATATGACTTGACTTACACATGCAAGTATAAAGTTTTCGTATTCCAAATTTGGGTTTAGTGTTGTTGGGGGTAATAAACCACAATAAATATTGTGAATTTGCAGATATTTTTTGGAATACTTGCATTTGTAAGTCCGCCATATTTGCAGATCTGCAAAGTTGCAGACGTTCTGTAATCTCACCTTCGAGCTGAAATATATATGCTCGAAGAATCTCACCCATATGTATGTATATCATGCTTCATAGCTGTATGTGTGGAGATTTGGTCATACATTTTTTTTATTTATTAAAATAATATTTATTTAGTAGATCTAAATCCTTCTGAAATTTGACGTTCCTAATTGAAATTACAAATTACAAAAGAAAAATAGGGTGATTGCCGATTGCTTTTATATTTTGCGATTCTGTCCGATTGAAAAGAACGATGACGTCATAGACATATAGTTTCGTTGTTATAAATAAAGCGACGGTTTAATGTCCATAAAACTATTAAAATTATTAGATTTACTATTTATTTATTAAAACAAATTTACAATTGAAAACATTTTTAAATTTTATGAGTCGGTGAATTGCTATATATCAATCAAACCTTAACGAAACTCCAACCTTGCTAGAAAGTTGTTGTCAAGTACTGTCAAATGTCAAGTTGAGTTTGTTTGTCAAAAACTTTGACGTTTACAATTTGCGTGTGTCAGTGTACCAGTAAATTTTTCAGTTATGATGCTTTTTTTCCTAAAATTTAAGGAGTTTTCTTGTGAATTCATCTAGAAAATACGCATAACTTTCATTTAAATACACTAACCTAGTAAGTACCAACACTTTCGAAAGTGTCTTTTTTTTTTAATTTAGGTGGGTGTCTGGCAGTATATTATGATTTATTCTGATATTTACATTATTTGAAAATTATCATTGGGATGTCGTGTTTAATATTGTCTCATGTTTATTGTCTGTATTTTAAGGCGTTTTATTTCCTCTCCAGTTTAGATCATTCAGTCGTGACCCTGAAACGTAAAATTAACTTTCCATCAATTTCCATATTTAGGATTTTGACCTCCTACTGGTGTAAAAAAGTCTGATGTAGGTATATTATTGAAGTTACAAGTTATAAATAAATGATTAACATCCTCTTATCATTTGAAGGTAATTGAGATCTTTATCAGTGTTAGGTGTACATTTTGAGTCAGGTACCTACATAAATATTACATGTAAAAATATTTTAGATATTTCTGTTTCAATAACTTTATTACTATATAATTAGGTAAAACTTTGTTGTGACTGTAGCTCTTTTCTTAATTAAATAGTAATTAATATATTCATTAGTTTATATCTCAAGAAATTATCAATTTTGGTCTAGAATCTGCCCAACCTGTGGTTAACATTTTATAAGGAAATGAGTTAGTCACAAATTACTGTAACTACAAACTGGATTTTTTTACATTTTATGAGTGTTTTTGACAGTTTTCTTTTAAACAAATTCTAGCTTTGAAACTTGAAACAATCTATGGTACTGTTGTATACATTAAATCCCTGTCTTATGAATATAATAAAAATTGTTTAATAAACAATGCACCAAGGTCAGTATGAATATTGTCTCTATAATAGTGTATATTTTCAAAATTAAAATTGTAAATAGTTAAATATACTGTTTGTAGGCATGGGTATTCATTTGCAAAGGGTTAAGTAATACTGTAATTTTGCTAAACCCAATTTCTAATTATTCAACAATAACAAAAATCCAATATTTAAATATTTATTTCCTTTGATGATCTCAAATAGTCTGCATTTCAATTGACTTAATTAATTCTGCCTAATGTACTAAACATTTTGAGCATTTAACAAAATATTTTCTGCTAACATTCAAATGTGTTCATAAAAATTTTTAAAAATTCTCAAGTTATTTCTTACTTTGAAATCTTAAGATTCAAACCTAAGCTTATAGAAACAATGTAACATTGTTTTAATGTTAATCATTTGGTATATTTTTCATTCTTCTTGAAGCAGACTTCAGTTGTTTTTTACAGCTTTTCTAAAGTTGTTTGTTGACATTTGTGTTATGAATAGATTTGTGTTTTTAAAATAGATTTCTTACTGTCCATGTGGCTTCCAAAATTAAATACCTTGCCATAGGTGGAAACTTTTTACCTCATGGAGAGTTGCTATATTCTGTGATTATTCTGAAATTTTTATAAACACTCATCTTACTTCTATTAACGTTGATGTAGTAGTGAACAGTTAGTAGATAGTTCAACGTCAGTTTGGCACCTGTTTTGATTACAGCAGGTAATTATACCATAAATACTTTTTTAACTAATATAAAAGAAAAATATATCGTAAAGATTTAAAAAATATTTACAGAAATAAAATTTAATTTGACAATAATGATTGATTAAGCTCAAAAATATTTGAATTTGTTAATGTTATGAATTTAAATTTTGGAATTTTTGTTTGAGCTGTCAGATGTACAGTGTATCAAATAAAATATAATAATGAAATAATGTTTAAAATATTTTTATTATAGACTAAATATAGGTGATTAAAAATATAATGTGAATGATATTTTGTGATTTAAGTAATTTGTATTGAATTTAAGATACAGGTACTCTTTGTAGATTGTTAATTTATAATTTCGTATGGTGTTTTAAATTGGGATCAAAAATTTTAAATGTGTTTAGGTAAGGATATATGATTCTCTTTTTAAATTGATAAGAAAATATGATTTACAAAGTGTGTAAGAAGATGTAAAAAACATTTGTTCAATACCTATTTGAATTTGATAGTTCCAACCTTTATAGAAAAAGCAATAAATTTTTAGAGTCTTCAACAATAAAAGTAACATTAATAACTTCATAGTAACCCTAGAACAATGTCACTGTTGTCATAAAAGTCACCCTAAAACAATGTCAGAAGTGATACTTATGTTGTCACAAAAGTCACTAAGAACAGCCACTTTCATTAAATTTTTTGTTTTTATCAGATCACAGGGGATAATATGAATATGGACATAACACCAAAGAGTCAAGAAATTTGATAATAATTACCATTTTGTTGGCTACATTAACTTAAAAAAATGCATTCATATTTTTAATAATTAGTTGCACAGCAAATATTTTTTAATTTCGATACAAATATTTTTCAATAATCAACAAATTAATGTCCATACAGATTAATTTACAATAATTCTAAATATTCAGGAAATACAATGTTATCAGAATTAGTTCCAAAAAAAAAAGAATACCTTCAGAACTATGAAACTTAAACAAGTTCAAATATGTGGATAAATAAATATCTTTCATAGTTTTACACTAAAAAAATGCTATTGCAATAATTATTGTGAAATCAAAATTCGGTATGCTCTTTGGGAATGATAATCTTTGGAATTATTTTTTGCTTCTTTTGATTTCCTGCTTTGTAGTCTACAATGTTTCCAATAAAGATAGATAGTGAGTCATTTGTCGTTGTTGTGTCTTTTTAAGGGGATTGCAAATTTTATATTCAAGGCTTTTGTACAGAATGGATTTAAGATTAATTTTAATTAAACAAATAATAAAACTGCAGTTTGAACTTTTAACAGTTTTAACCATAAAAGATTAAAACCAATTGAAATTTGAAATGTGTACGTTATCGGAAATAGACCAATCAGCTTGTGTCGGAAGTTTTTTTGTTATACAGAATCAAGCCAATGAACAAACTGACACATAGAATGTCAAAGTGAACGCACATCATTCATTGCGTTCGGTTTGCCACGTTCCTTTAACTCCTTTAACACTTTTAACTCCAAACGACTCTTTTAGCGTTCGGTTTAGTCCGATTAGTGACAGTTTAACACGCTTAAATGTCATTTAAAAGCACCCTAAAATTTGTCCCGCTCCAGCCCCTGACTGACCTAACTCGCCTTTAGTGACACTTAAAATTGACACCACCTAACCTAATATTCTTATTCAAGTGTTTTACCCATTGTAGATATGATTACTGCATTTTTTAAACAATACTCAATTTATAAGTGCCAAAGTTAAGCATGTTAAGACAGAAAGGTATGTAACACTTTATTTATAATTTGTTTTAATAGTAGTTACAGTTTATATAGAGCAATACACCTTATATTAAAAACATTTATCTCAGGTCATTAGGGTTGTCGAACAGTAACAGTTTTTCAAAAATAAACATTTTACCTTTACCCTTTACCTCATTTATATGTATAAGAAAAATATATTTTTCTTATAATATATTAGCGTACACTGATATCCACAAATATAACACTAGAAATTGAGACGATATATCTGTACCTTGAAGCAACAAGGGCCAATCTCTAATTTAAGCAAGAGAGTGACGTTTAAAGCTGTGCTGTTGGTATTATTTCTATAATTAGAAGTAAAAGTATAATTATGTATTACCTGAGAAATAACAAATTTGTTATTGTATAAAACGAGTTTATACAATTTGCCTACCTCAAAAATTAAAACTAAATAACCTCTAAAACTATTTAGAAGGGTAGTGCACATGGTTTTACTGTAATACTATTTTTATTTGGTCGAGGATTACCTACTTGCTACATGTCATTGTAAATAATTGTAATTTAAGTACATTTTTATGTATGAATGACTACTTTTTGTAAATATACAAACTCTTTCTGTTACAACTAATATATACATGTCTAGTATTTACATGAATAAATCTACAATAATATTGCTAAATTGAAATAATAAAAACATATATTTTATGAAATAATAAAAAATAAAAGTAATAAAAATTGAAAAAAATGGGAATCCATAAAAATGTACTGTTGAAAATACTAAAAAAATCACTATTAAATATTTTATTATTTTTAGATCTGCCAAGCAAGTATATGGAGATAATGCGATTTTCCATGAATAACTTGAGAAAAGGAGATATTTGAACAGTAAACGGAATAATTACACATGAACATAAAGTATTTTGCATTGTTTTTCCCACATTTGAAGTAAATAATGAGGTCGTTAAGTTGAATTTGATAATTAATCTTTAGAGGAAATTTTAATTTGTGCATCTACATTACTGTTAGGGCTTGTGTACATATTTTTTTTTTGTAAATAAAGTATTGTTTACTTCGTTTATCTTATTCAGGTACTTTTATTTTTTAATAATAGGTTAATAAATAAAATCCGTGAAAATTTTATTTATTTTATATACAATTTATTTTTGTTTATATACAATTATTATAATCTCTGAAATGTGATAAATTATTATAAAAAAAATTAAACAGTTTATTAAATTATTAGGTATGTCTTACAAAATGAGTTCTTTTAATTCACACAAAAATGTAAAAGGTTCATGTTAGCTACACTTTTCTTCTCATAAATATCATTGAGGATTTTAAAAACACTGTTGGGCAATCCTAAATGTACCTTCGGTTTATTTTCAATTATTTTGAGAGTTCATTGGTTTTGAAGATCCTGCTCATTATTATTAAGTGCCTTTGAATCAGATATTAAAGATGTTTCTTCTGATTCAGACAAAACTTTACTATCTTTGAAACTTTCAGGAGGTTCCGAGGGAGGTTCTTGCAGAAGGGGTTTTAGGATATACACCTTCGAACTTATAGTAGGCTCATTTTAAATTTCCCGAAGGGGGAAGGGGGCAATGTCAGAAATTGCTGATGCATCTTGAAGATCCGGTGTATTTTTATTAAATAGAGATGAAAAACGCCTCTAGTAGAATGTTATTTTCCAGTCAACTTTTTAGAAGACTTTTTATGTTTTCTTTTTTTTTTTTGGTAGAATCAGTGAGCTGGCTGTTGTGTGGCGAATAACAAGAACTGTGGATACATTTGTATGGTACTACCCACTCCTTATATGTAAAGGTTTATCCATCATTTAAAAAATGAACAGTTTTCAAAATCATCTGGTATTGATTGAAGTCTAATAAATTACAATAAAACATTTTCATTTTAATAAAGAGTATAGATACAAACCTCAAAATAATTTAGCTGTTGCTTGAAGCGTTTCTGTGTTATAATTTATAATAATAATAATAATAATAATAATAATTTTCTTTTCATATTTCTAGCAACACTAATAAATATTTTTAATAATGAATGTAAAATGTAAATCATTATCACATCTTGGGAGGAAACATTTTTTTCGTACTCATAATATTTATAAAAACATCAAAATTAAATAATTATCGATAGACCTTTTCATCATGTCAGGAGCGCAAGCGCAGCCACCATGTTGAAATAGCGGTAATTCAAAAGTTTCGTACTCTTTTGATCGACAATGGCTGGAAAAGCAATATTATCTCTACAGAAAAATTAATCATTAGAAAAAATCGTAGATGGTGATTAACTTTTTTATAACTCTGTGAAAGCGCATAGTTGTGAGCAGTTGAAAAGGTGGTTGAAGTGTCTTGGATGTTTGCTACAAACGAAAAAAGGGGACTGATTGAGAGGTTAGGTGTATCAATACTGCTTAACTGTGTAAAATTTAATGAAAACAAATAATAATTGTAACTCCATTCTAATTAATTAGGCCTACAACTATTAGTACTTGCAAAAACACTTTAACGTGATAGTTAATCACTAGTATAATTAATAAAATAAATGATTTAATATTTTGAGGATCAATATGACATTTTTAATCATATTACTGTGTATACCGAAGTATTTAATATTAAAAAAATATTGTGTAATACCAGATAAGAATGTTCTTCTGTTGGACCATTTTCTCCATGAAACTGTAGTGAACAAATATAAGTATCTTTAGTAACATCATCGAAAACCGTTGTCTTCGACCACATTTTTTTACACCTAATGCACATTTTGCGCTTTTTGAACGTTTTAATATGGATTATTGGCCTGATAATTTGATATTTTTTTTACAATGTTGCAGCCAGGGCTTTGGAAAATTTATGAAATAATATGTATTGCAGTCGCATTGCCATTTTCTTGTTTATTATTTGTCGTTTCTTAAAACAATGAAACTACTTTTAAAAACATTTAGATTTAAAAGATATTTGTTTTAACGATATTTTAGAAGTCTAAAAGTAAGACGGTGCACACAAACGAACGTATATTACTTTTCGTATACGGTCTAACTGGCAACGTTGTGTGGCTAGTTCCTATTGATCTATTCCCGGTGACGTCATAAATTTTAAAAAATTAATAACTCAGGCAAATGAATAGATAAAAAAAAAATTTAATGTAGCTTTATTTTGAACTGTATAATTCTTAAAAAATTTCAAAATTTTTGAACTAGCCCCATTATACAAAATTCTTCATCTAGTTGCATTTTTCTGTCAAATATATAGAGTGAGTAATTAGAGTCTGTAAATTACAAGGTGGGACAATCCACCACGTATAAATTTGAGTAAATTAGGATGGTACTAAACAGGGCTTTATAAAGAAACCTGCTGTCGACAAATAAAACTAATTATTTTGTAGTATCTGTAACGATAATTTTTATTGTTTCATATCAAAATTTAAACGATTTTTGTAATATAGAAATAAAACCTATTTTTCTTATATTATTACTAGTGATGAAACTGTTTTGTTTTTTTTTATAAAAACATGTTTTAGAAGAAAAAACAGTGGTTTTGTTTAGAAACATTTTTTTCCTTAATTGAAAAGAGTAAACTTAAAACAGAAAAATTTTGCGACTTTTTAAAATAATAATAATAATAATAAGTATGTATGAATATTAAAACAAAAATACAACTAAATTAGTTTTGATAAATTCTAAAATCCTAAATCCTAAAAACCCTACGCAATAAAAGAAATAAAGGTGAAAACATTTAATAAAAAATTCTGTCAACGGGTGATTCGAACCCACCTATCAATATATAAAAGGTCTGTGTACCTATTATCCATGTTCTAAGCACATCACTTTTACCAACCGAGCCATCAGGGACATAGTCGCTGACTTCCCAATCGAATATTAGGCATTCCAAACAAAATGGCTGCCCGTTTGAAATGACAGGTACATGATAGGTTATAATATGGCAACACTGTAAGCCTGGTGGTTTGATAGGGTCAATAATATAGACATATAGATTGATCATCCATGGTTTTAAAAATAAACATAAGCTTATGCCTTGAAGTAAAAATGTAGGCAATTATTTTTTTTTAAATATTCAAAGGCTGAAAATTGGTTTTAAACCACATTTTTTCTAAACCGATTCAAATTAGCCAGGCAATGTGGCCGCTCGCAAAAGACCCGCTTTAAGCAATCTATATAACTATAGGTATCCTTGACCCTGCTATTGACAACATGCCCACAGGGTTGCCATATCTAATTTGTCAGAACCTACTGGTAGCCATTTGGACAGGTCGTTGGAATGCCTAATAAGATTTCGAATCTAACCTTGTTTACTTACAGAACATTTTCTATTCTTCAACAAGCTACTGAACAGCATCGTCTGGAAAAACATGCGTCTGCATGCTGACACTTCCCTATGTCATCTGTAATGTATTAGTTTTTAACATACGTTAAAACACAAACCAAGCTAGTGAGATAAACGAAAACTTGTCTGTTAAATATCCGAAAAATTGGATGATAAATTCCTTAGAAATCAAACAAATCCCAAAATTACCACTATGAAATAATAAAAATTATTTGTGAACCATCACTAAAATAAGAAAAAAGTAAATAGTTGTTTTAAATTCATCTCCCGCGTAAGAAAATATTGTTTTGCTGAAAAAAAAAAAAAAACAAAATCCCAATAGTACTAAAAACTAAAACCGTGCTGATAAGCTGTCAAACGATGATTTCTAATAGAAATCTCCCATTTTTCTTATATCAGGAAGTATTTTCGTCCAACTTTGAAGTTCTTATGCTGCTACAGTGTCTTTAAGATACACGCAATATGGTTGTCATCAGATTGGTACTACATAAAATATGCTTTTTTTTCTTGACTTGTGTTATACATTGCAATATATATTAAATGTAAATTGACATAAATATATCAAAATCTTTGTATTTTAAATAAAGGTACTACACCAACATTTTTAAACTCTCGCAGTCAAACACATGGATATCACTTTATCCACAATTGGTATCTATAAATCAATTCTAAACTGGCAAGTGTCTGACGACATTTAAAATAATGTTGATATTGATGATCTCCACGTTATCTCAGAACCCTAGGAAGATGGACAGGACAACCTATGCTCAACTTTTCAAAGGGGCTCTGAGAGAGGCGGAGGTCTAAACTCCAAACAACAATACTTTGAAAAAGTACTCGAACGCTATTCAAAGTACAATAAACAATGCCTACAAGAAATCCTGCCCCCTGAGACTGATCCAACACAATCAGTCGACAACTGCATGGTGGTGTCACGAGTTAGATCACCGCAGGAAGATGGCTAGGAAATCTTTTAATAAGGCAAGGACCACAAAACTCAAAGAGGACTGGAATACTTACAAATCTCGCCTCAGAGAATAGAGAAAATCGTACCTATCTCCTTAGGAGGATGACCAACGGGCCTAGTGAGGCCTAAGTGTCGTGAGTCAACCCACCCTCCACACGTTACAGATACAGATACTTGTCCGTGTCATACATTTTTTTTTCATAAAAAACAATAAACGCTTTTTTAATTATTATGAAAGTTTTTTTATGATTTGAAAAAAAACTATTTTTGTTCTTTGTTATAATTAACACCACTAATTTAATTATCAGTACTATCACATAGAAATAAATTTATGGAATTAGGGTATTAAAATAGTATACATTGTAGGAATAAGGAATTTTATACACATCACATACGAGGTATTTTTTATTGGATTCTGTAAACATTTGGTTAAAATTAACCCTGGGTTATACAAATAACCGGTACTTTTAAATGTTGATTATTTAGTTATAAATTATAACTTATGTCAGTAATAAATCTAGTATGATTACATGTCAAATATATTGTTTTTCTTATTTTAAAGCTGCGTTGGGCTTAATCTCAATTCACTTTTAGTCGTTGTCATGTCTATTTTAACTGGGATTTTTTATAAAATAGCTAATAATACAAAATTAAATTGATGGAATATCGAATAGCGATTTGGGTTAAAATTTAAACGTCATAGTTATAAATAACCTTTTAATCTGACGGTTACAATTAACTAAAACGCTACAGAATAGACCAACCTGTCTGCTAAAATTCCAAATTTACCTATTTTGGTCACATAAGAGGTATTCAAATGACAAGGTCGATATCTATATCTGTATTACAGGAGATATTTCCACAAGCCAGCTTCCTGGCATTTTTATATTTTCATTTTCAAAAATACACTGCTTGTTTTAATATAATTTTTTTTTATTTAGGATTTTAAGTAAAAAATGCCAGCTCCTCCTCCTCCCCCGCCTCCAATGGCTCCGGCCGCTCCCCCACCGCCATCTTTCAACATCAAACCATCGAAAAGCAGCGGAACCGAACGGAACGCTCTCCTCAAGGACATCCGATCAGGAGCCAGATTGAAAAAGGCCGTAACGAATGACAGAAGTGCACCAATTGTTGGAGGTAAGACGTAATTATATAAATGAACTGCACAGGGATTCTTATATCCAAACTTGACACTTTATGTATCGGATAGAAAGAATTGTAGTTTGTCGAATCAAGATAGACATCTCTATACGTGATATATCGAAAAGTGAGAATCCCACTGGTGTTTAATTTAAATTATCATACAAGTAGTTCAAATGTCTCCTATTAATCGGGTAAAAAATAATAGAGACAACTTATTCTTTGTAGAGGCAACCAAAATATGATTCGACAGCAAAAAATGCATATACTTCAAAAAAAATATTCTTAGTCTCTTAAATTATTATTTTTTCATGTTCTGTATTTGTTAACGGTGTAATTTTGAGTATTTGTTATCAACCTTTTCCTATTGCTTTGTTCAAAAATTAAAATTGTTTAATTTAAGTATTATAATAATAATAATAATAAATTTTCCTGAGTGACTCTTTTTATGTTTACAGAAATCTTCTTTGTGATTGACAAATTTTTATTAAAATTCATCAGAATTATTTCATTTTCCCCATTCTCTTACTAGACAAGTCAATTGCGTAATTAGTTGAGCGTTTTCCGATTTCAAATTATGTTTAAAAATTGTTTTAAAGGTACCTCGAAACCATCCAACGGCGGGGGCATAGCAAATCTACCAGTGATACCTATCGGAAGTCTAAAAAATGGCGGTTCAGTCAGCCCGCGAAACGGCAGTAGTCCCGGCACTCCTATGGGCAACATGAAGAATTTCAGCAGCATACAACAAGAACTCAGCAGGAAGATGGCGTTTACGAATAACGGTCAAAATCAAGTGCAAAATCAAACGACGACGGTGGAGAATCGAAATGAACCCAAAAATTTTGGAAACATCCAAATGGAACTGAAGAAGCAACTGGCGAACGATAACAGAAACAGGGGCCCGCCTCCACCCACGCCTACGAGAACTGTAAGTATATATAGGCCATTTATGCAGTCCCGACCGTGCAGTGTTGCCTAATCGCCAGAATAGTCGAGAAAAGTAGAAAGTGTTGAATATATATGAATATATCAATAATAGATTTTGAGCTTATATTTTTAACTTTATAATAATAAATAAGAGTCATAATAATCCATTGTTTAAAGGTTCAACCTGACATCGGTAATCGAACCACGTTTTTACATAGAGAAAACAATATCACGAACGGTTTCCACATGAGTCAATTGTCGCTAAACACGAGTTCCTCGAATCCTCCAATAAATCAGAGCACGCTGCACAGGAAGGCGAAGAGCAACGCAAATTTAAGTATGTTAGACTCCATCGATAGCAGCAACGGAGTACCCAATAGACCTAACAAACCTGTGATCAACCATGGCAAACCGAATTTGGCGCCCAAACCACCAGTTTTAAATGGTAAGTTAATAAATCATTAATCTGTAATATTCACTGGAATTAGAAAATTTGTATATTCTTTGTTATATATGGGACAATTTCCGTTTCAGGAAAACCGAACACGCTCCATCTAAAAACCAGCAAACCGGTGACGCGGACGCACAGTCTAAAGAGTCCGCGTTTACCATCGCCGGGCAGTCCGGAAGTCAATCCAATGAACAAATTCGGCACAGTCAGGCACATGTCTTCCGTACTCAGTCAGGCCCTCGGTGGAAATTCGACGGCGCCCAATGGAAGGGCGAGACCCGCGATTAGTACACGGCCGACAGCGCCACCGCCATCGGTAAGAGACTTTGTAATTATTGTGTATTTATTTACGTCATCTAGAACAGATTAAACTATTTTGTTTGTAGATACCAGTACCGGCCACGCCCAACCAACAATCATTGTCTTCTAGTCATACGCCGCCTCCTCCAAAGTTGAGCAAACCGAACCACGCCCCGCCACCTCCGCCGCCTAGTCATGCTCCGCCTCCACCGCCACACAATAAAACGCCGCAGATGAACAAACCCGCTCAGACGGTAAGTAAATTTACTGGTATTATTTATTTGAAAGAAACAGGCAGTGCCGGCTCTAGCCCTAGATTAGGGTAGAACGAGATTTTATTTCATCGCTTTTTAATCAAGCTCTTAAATCACATAAATTGTATTGCAGTTTATGGTAAATAACTAATAATTACAAACTTTTTCAAAAATAAACTTTTTTTGCAAAAATACACATATTGAATTTAATATCTATTTATGCAACCAGTTACGAAATGCCTTATCTTATGTAACAAGTGAATATTTGCGAGACGAGCAGAGCGAGGTCCCTCAACATGAACGAGTTACATAAAACGGCATTTCGTAACGTGTTATATGCAACATTATTTCTAATTTTGACTAGATTATTTATAAAATTGTGTTAGGTAAAAAATTACTAATCATTAATTTTTTATACTTTCAATCAAATATTTTAGAACATAAATATTTGGAAAATTGTTGAGAAAGAAGTGTCGCGGTTTTATAATAATAATAATAATAATAATAATACTCTCCCTAATTCACCCCCTTACGAGTGAATTTCAACTCCTGAAGTCGACTGAACGACTTGTGTAGGGGAAGGGACGGATATTATTATTATTATTATTATTATTTGCCGTGGCGACTTAAAGATGATTGATGGTGCCATTTGACTTACAGGTGAGGAAAACCCGGAAAACCTCACCCACCACCATATAATTTGATTTATTTGAATGAATACAAGTAGGTAGTTATTTTAAATATTTTTTAAAAGAAAATATTAATTATTTTACATAGGCGCCGACTCTAAGTGTGCACAAGCACTGAATACTGAATAAATTATGGATGCGAAGCACCCATACGAATTTATGAGTTAATGACCCATTACAATATTATTTATTATTTAAGTCAGTGGCGCTATTCAGGTGTAGTAGGTGAAATGCCATTTCACAAAAAATAAATAATAAAAAAATACTTATATTTTTAAATTTTATAATGTATGTTTTGTTAATTTTTTTACTTTGGTGACTTTTGCAACTTATGCATTTTTTACAAATATAGTAAAAAAACAGTCTTACAAATGATGTTTGACCAATATAAACTTTGGCAAATGAGTAATATAGCAACAATCTTATGGGACAATAAAGTGAATAAGGATGTTAAGGAGTGTTGTCAGTGTTATTGTACATATGAACTTATTTACTTCTTTTCTAGAATTTGTATTAACATTTGCGCAACAAATAATATTGATTTCTAGGTTCTTTGTGTCATAAAGAATCTAGATATGGGTCATTCTCAGTTGAGACGTAAATCGCTTATTGATAAAACGCGGCACGACAAAAATTTTGAAATTGAAATCAAATTTTACAATGGTTCGATCAAAACAATCATTTCAAACGTGCCTGCAAGACGGTCAGTCAATTTATTGATTTTATCTCGTTTTATAAGATGCCAGGGGAGATACTCATCCAGGGGAGAGACTTAATGTACAGAGTAGAATACTTTGTGATTAGAGAAAGGATTTTAACATTATTTTATGAAAGAAAACAACATTTTATTGAAGTATTAACTTTATTCAGTCATTTTATAATTTTATTTATCAATAATTAATTGATAATAATTAGTCTTTAAAGTTTTCATATCTCCCCTGGATATCGTGTCTTTCCCCTGGCCCTTACAAGACAGGGGAGATATAAACAGGGGAGATACTTTTTAGTAACAAAAATAGAAATAATGACAAATGTATTTATTGTATGAAATTAACCAAGAAAAGTTAGAATCTATACACAACAAGAAGTAAATATACGAATGAATTAAAATTTTTAGATGAATATTTTAAAAATAAAACTTACCAGGGGAGAGACTCCGTTCACTTGTTGTCAACTGTATGCACAGAGTGCCAGTAACGAAATAAATGACTAAATGACTGCGCACCTAGTTCGAGTGGCTCTGATTACAAACTATACACTCAACAACGTTCGCTCAAGGTCTTCAATTCCCGCAAGTCAGTAAACAAATGCCGATTTTACACAAAAATAAGCGTGCCAGGGGACGAGACGCAAAATACGGGGGACAAACGTAAACGTAATTTTTTTTTAAGAAAAAAGAAAATCACGCAATTTTACTTGCTTAATTACGATAATTTATTTAAATTATTTTGTTGAAATGTATAATTTAAATAAGTTATTTGATTTTCAAGTACTTAAAATTACAAATAAATAAACAGAATCGGCCCGGGGACAAGCCAGGGGAGAGATGTTTTCCGACTTTGAGGTGAAATTGTGACTAAATTAAATAAAATTAAGAAATGAATTTGAGTGACCAATTATATGAGCACGAGTTTTAAGAGAAAATAACATTCTTTTTAATAAAAATTTTTAAAAAAGGTGATTTTTTGTTATGGACGTCGAATTTACGGCTTAACTGGGAATGACCCATATGTTTCTTTTTGTTGTACGATAGAAGTCATTAATGTAAAAAAATGACCCAGTTGTTTTTGGAATTTTTGTTTATTTATTTATAATTACAGCTTATGCTAATTACAGGGTGACGGGAAAATATACAAAATACAAAAATAAGTTAGAACATAAAAGTAAAGATTTATACAAAAAAGCATTAAAATATGTTGTGCATACATTCCAGACATACACAATATGCGAAAAAAAGTTTGTCTGTAAAAATGCTTTACAATTTAAAAATTAAAATAAGTGGGTTTTGAAACAGTTATACCTATGGTCAAGTATAACATTTTCTATAGACATTTTTTCCATGTTAATATTAATTAAATAATTTGATATAAGACATTTGTCTATATATTTTTAAGTAGTTTAAGGTTTTAAAAGCTTAAAAACATTTTGACATTTTTGGGCGCGGCCCCAAAAAAATTACTTCAGATATTTTATGCCGCACCCATACGGATTTTAGAAAGCCGGCACCTATGTTATTTTATGAGAATTTTGAATAAATTTGTTTATGTATGCGATGCAAAAAATAGGGAATAAAAGTTGCCACTAACCCTGATAGCGGGCTACTAGTTAAATTTTTCACCGGCCGATATTTAATTATTTAGATGGGCGTATACCCTTTTACAAAAAATATATACATAATATAACGCCGTGACTAGCCACACGTTAAAAGTCATGGATGTGACGTTACGGAATTCGCATGTTAATTCCCAGTATGATAGTTGTTTTTAGGTTAGTTTTCTAAGTTATCAATTTAAAATTTTGACCTATTTTGGGTAGATAGACTAATGATATAAAAGTCGAATTAAATTGTGGAATTACATTTTTTTTAAGAAAATAAAATGGAAGTATCAAACAACCTTCACCAATATTATAATACACAATAACATAGTATCTAGCTCTTAGATATCGTGTTTTCTCATTGTTACATTACCACATATAAACTCCTTATATGTAAGTAAGTAAGCTGTATTAAACTATTTACAAATACGAAATACTGGAAAATACCTGTATAATGTAATTTTAATATTAATTTGTATTTTATTACTCTCATTTGCACAAATTACTCACTGTTGATTCTCCTAGTCATTGTCGGGTCTCGCTCGGGTGAAGGTCGTTTTGCCCTGGTACTGGTAGACAATTCGGAGAGCGTAGCGCACTCCTCGAAATCACCAACACTGTGAAGCACTTCACCAGGGAAACTTCCCCCTTACCTACATTTTCTGTGTGTAGGCCGTCGCTCGATGGGGGTGGAGAGTGATTTGAGTCCCAATTCAAACGAATTGGGTACTCTCAGGGTGGGTTCGGGCCCAGACGGCGGGGATTTGGCAAACCGTCGGGTAGCGTTATTAATATGAAAATCATAAAAATCTTGAAAATTTAAGTTTATAGCCGAGTTCGGCTGTCTCCACAAGGTGGCATTTTGCTCTGAGGGGGAGTAACCGGGGACAAGCCATAGAACTCTCTCCGTGTACCGTGCCCTGAAGGGAATACCCTTCTGAGGTCAGCAGTGAAATTATTTGAATTTTTGTGGTGCATTTTTGTAATAAATTAAATGAATTGAAATGATTTTAAATTAATTAAATTAGTTAAACTGAGTGACGTTAAGATGCTAAACAAGTGAATTTAAAAAAAAATAAGTAATAATAAAAGCCTCCCTCAGTCAAGCGGGTCTGACAGGGGAAGGTCAATGTCGATTATCAAGTAACCGACAATCATTAGGACCGGTTATTTATAATAACTAATTAAATTAAAAAAAAAAAAAGAAATGAGCCCCGTTACTATAAACAAGGCGTCTCCGAATGGCTGTAAAATAAAACAAACAAGGTCAAGGTCGTTCGCCAGAAAAAGTTTAAAGCTCAAAATGTAAACAAACAAAGCTGGAGATCCTTACCAACCACCTTAAAGTCCACGACCCCTGCAGCTTAGGGTGGATGCGCCTAGGAAGAGAAGTCTGCGTCAGGAAGCCAAACCTTGGCGAAGCTTTAAATTTTCTTACGCGAGTAACATAGCTTAACCAGAACCTATTCAAATTAGTCTTTTCTCGAGTTTAACTTGGAACAGTTTCTGAGCCCTGAGGATATTTCTGAAATAATCAGTAACGCGGAGGTGGTATTCGAAAGTAATTCGGAGCCCCAGGAATTCTTACGAGTTCTCCTGAACAAATTGCGAATTTGGAAATCATGGAATCTACCATATCAGATCTTAACTTTGAAATAAACAATGTAGAAGCCAGTTTGGATCAAATTCTCTCACGTTAATACCCTAAGAAAACCTTACCGATTCCGATTACGACGCCACTATGGAGCGCAACGACGCTGACTCATCTGAAGAAAGCATAGCCGAAGATAATTATTCAGATCAAGAACCGCAAGGGCAAGTATCAGAAGAGGATAGCGATTTAGAACCTGCAAGTAAACATGTAAATAGTAAGCGTAAAGGGTATTAATAAAAAACTAAGACTGACGGGATTCACAAAGCCCAAAAATCAAAAAAATACGTTTCAAAAAACCTCTCGTAGGTCCTAAACACTAAATTATTCTTTTATTATTAGTAATAAATCCATGACTCTTTGTAAGAAAATGTACCTAAATACTCTTAGCCTCGGAGAATGGTCCTTACGGTCCTGGGCAATGAAGTCTGAAAATGGCATGGCAAGTAACGACCAAACCGAAATGAGCAGGAGAGAAAAAAGAAAGATATTTTTGAAAATGACAGGTTTCTCACTTCAGTTTCTTCAAAATTTAAACAAGCTTCCTTCACATTATTGTCGAAAAGACACCAATAGAATGTACTTGGAGTATTCTTTTCAGTCATGGTCGGATTTATACCGAGTCTACATGAGGCAATGCCAAGAAGAGGAGCAAAATCAAATGTCAGTTATCACTATGATTAAATTTGCCGACCAAATGAAAATCTTCATATTCCGACCGAGAAAGGACCAAATTCTGCAAGGCGGGAAAAAACAGATAAGGAGATGGCAGTTTCACAAGATAACAATGGATGTGCAGGTAGTGAAGCTGTCTCCACAAATACCAGCTAGCACGTTGTACTATTGTTTAGTCACAAATTCACGATTTACACCCAAGCTCCTGTATTAATTTTAGAAACTTTTTGAGTAAATAGCCAATTATTTTTACTTTTACGGTTTGTGAAACCTGTATACAGGAAACTATAATAACGAAAGAATGTGCACCCGCAAATAGCATTTTTGTTTCCAGATAAATACACATTAGATTTATTTTATTATTGTCTAAATCACATGACGAAAGATAATTGAAATTTTTGGGATACCGGAATCGTACTTCGTACTATCTTTATCGGTGGTACTGATGGTAATTCGTTGAAGAATTTTTTTTGCATATACGCTTCTGGTATTCAGTTTTATATTGAATATTGTAGACTAACTGTGTTAAACTATGGATCGCATAGGGTTATTACAAAAGGTAATAAATATTATTTCTGATTTGATTTTTTATTAACGTTTCATTTTGTTTTTTAATATTGAAATAATTCTTCATTTCAATAAAGCATTTTTGAACTTGCATTAATGATATTATATTTATAAAGATATGAAACTTTTTGTCTCATAGTATTTGTGTCGTTAAGATAAATTATAACTTTAATATCGTTATAAATTTTTGATTAATACAAGTTCAAAAATAAACTCCTTTTTTTTCTTTTAAAATTATAATCTTAACCGAGTCGTCAAATTGAAAACAGAATCTGATATATTTTAAATATGAAGTAAAAGAGTTACAAATTTGTTGTTTGCATTTCTAACCCAATATCCAGAACCTAGGCGAAAGGTCCGGTAAGAAAATTAGAGAACCTATAGATTTTTTTTCAAAAATGCGTCTTAGTAAGGTCCATATTTGTAAACCGCCCCTAGTTGATGACGCAATTAAACAAAAAATTAAGTGATATCACGGCTATTTTTTGTTTTAAATCTTGAAATAGTTTCTTCTAATAGATTCAATTATTCTGTAACATGGATTACTTCCGGTTTTTCTGGAAATAACAGTAAATTGTAATTAATTTTTATTTTTAAATGGATACCCCCAGTTTTTATTAAAAATTTGAGTTTCTGGTACATTTTTGTTGAAAATTTTCTTGTCAGTTGTCAAAATATCGGCCATATTGGATAATATTATTTCTGAACGTATTACTATTAAAGAATAAAAATAATTCCAACTTAAATGTGACCAAGACGTAAAATAAAATAAATAATACACAAAGCCATATGTCACAAAATAAAATCCACCGTTTCCCTTCGGAAAATTACTTTGGCTAATAACTCAACAGGTATTGAATTATATCCAAAGGAAAGATAGCAGAGATAGAAATTAAATTTCAATACTCTACCTTTGATTTTGCTCACTAAGGAGGACTTTATTATTGAACTGGTTTCGTCCTTATTAAGACCTCAGTCAAAAATAGATGGTTCTCAATTGCAGTCGCTAATGGAATTAACGAAGGCAACACATTTACTAGTATAGATTAATATTGAAGTAGTGAAAATGTTGTCGCCATCTGTTCCTAGTAAACAAAATCAAAGTTCGCTTGTAGGACCCAGCTAGAAAACTAGGTGGAACCAAAAAGACAGGCTGGCAATTGATCATTTACAGTTTTAACTACCAGGGGCTCGATTCTCGAGTTCATTGGAAAAGATTCCACTACTTATATTCCCATGGAAATAGGTTATGCAATTCTCGAACTTGTCGGAATAGACATTCCCATGGAAATAGTAGTTTCACGTATGTCTGATATTAAGTCCACGAATATTTCGAAACAACCAATAACATTAAAGATATTTTAAAATTTACTGTTGGCATTATTTGTATTTGTTGTGGTTTTTGGGTAACCGATTATCTGCCGAGCCTCCGCGCTGGAGCATGTGCCGAGCAATCGCTAGCATGACCGAGGAACAAGTGAAAATATTCGATTATGTATAATTAAAACTTGTCGAGCCATTCTTAGTTTTCCTTTTCACATGTTAAAAAAAGAAAAAGTAGCTTTTGTATTGAAGAGCAACGAAAGTTTCGAGAAACTAAGAAATTCTTTCGTTAACGGAAATAATAAAATTATCAAAAAGGTTTTATTAAATTTTCTACAAATTTCTCAATTTGTGTTATTTGCCAGTCCCTTAGCAGCTCCCACAATTTCTAACTGATTTAAGAAAATCAGTTCATATAGTTTCTTAGGGTCGATTCCACCGTTGTGTTAAACGAAGTTTAAAATGACATATGTAAAAATGTCATTTTAATCTCCGTTTAACACAACGGTGGAATCGGCTCTTAGTGAAAGAGAAGTAAAAATAATATACCTACATAAATAAAATAATATCAATCTATAAATACGCCAAAAAAATGTTTTAACTACAATTTCATCAAAAATCCAATAATCTTATTTGGTTATGTCTTAGTCTTTCGCGTGGTCTTTCTTTAAATTTTCGACTTTAATGCGCAAACTCTAGTACAATTCCCATTGAAAAACACAATTTCCAATGCTCGTAAGCAGGGGAATATTTTCCCATACTTCTCATTGGAAAATATTCCACCGCTTATGTCGAGAATACGAAAACTGAATTCCCATGGGAAAATTTTACTTTCCCATGGGATAAAAGTCGAGAATCGACTCCCAGTCAGATAACATTTCTCGACCTTTCTGACTGTCAGCTAATTAGTCATGTCTGGTCATATTGGTCGGTTTTCTTTTTCGTTAGAGGTTTTCGACTGATCTGACTACTAACTTAACGCACCCTTTGTGTTTGTTTAAAATCAACTGACATTTAACGCACCCTTTGTGTTTGTTTAAAATCAACTGACATTGGAACATAAATTATGTCATATTAATACATCGTATTGTTCTTGCTTTTTAAACGTTTAAAAGATTTTTTCTTGATTTATTCGGTATTACTTGTAAATTTTAATACAAATATTGACGTTTTTTTTGTTGTTTACAGGGCTCGAACCCACCCTCGCCGCCCCCGCGGCACTCATCGATGCGAGAGACCAACTTGGTGAAAAGACCGAGCAGCATAGACGAAAAGTTCAAGCATCTGTTTCAAACGCCCGACCGATTCCCCCCGCCTCCGCAATATAAGAACGTCATCAAACTGTATAATTCCGTTTCTGTCAAACCAGCACCCGTTAAACCTGTTTACGTCGCTTAAGTTTAATTTTAATTTACCAAAAATTGTTTTGATATTTGTTATTATTAATAAATTAATAGATTTAAAATTTAATATTTGTGATTTTTTTTTTTTTTTTTTTTGAAATAGGGTTGGGTATATTTCATTAAAACGCAATAAAATTAATTCGATTTTAATTTTTTTCAAAGATAAAAAGTGTTTATCTTAACCTGCAAAATATAATTGAGAGACTTTAGTAAAAGTATTAGTAAAAGTATTTAATATGAGCATAACACCCTGTACATCAGGCCTGCACAACTCAGATTTTCAAAGGGCCAGTTTGAAAAACCGTAAGTGTACGAGGGCCAAGAGAGGCCTGAGCCTATATGTTTCGATTCTAAAAAAGAGGTCCTCACGTTCTAATTATGTCGAGCTGTTCTAAAAAAAAAGACGTCAGCCATCAGCTTCTTCTCCTGGTCGAGTTTCTAAAAAAAGACTGATGCCTAAATGTAAGTTTGTTACTGAAAAATGTATAGTTTGACGTAGGCTGGCCAACGGGCTGTCAAATCGACCGTGGCGAGCTGTATTACGTGCAGGCCTGCTCTACATATGCAAAAAAATTTTGAGTGTGTATTTGTTGGGAACCATTCATTACATTTTAAATGTCATTGTCCCTAAATGTGTCTTATTTTTTTTTTTAAACTAATGCACTGTCTGAAAATGGCATAGTAACTGTTGCAGCAAGCAGTGGCTGGTTTTGAAGTTTTTGTTCGTTTATAATAAAAATTCGAATGATGCACGGCTCTCCGAGTTTCGAAACGTGTATTTGCCCTTCCTTGGTCACTTCTTGAATGCCTACTTTGACTTTGTATGAAGAGAGCGGTAACATGAGTGGAATCTGAAAAAGTATACAAATATAAAACGTATCTTCCATATTTACCAAATGGGTATAGAAATGTATGGTCTAGGCATAGAAAGTAAAATGAATAAAATAGCAACAAATTACAAAATTATTAGAAGACAGCACAGCAGAGCACATTCTATGTACCTGCTCCGCTTTAATGACGCCGGACCACGGTCTACTGTATCTAAAACATTGAGTGCTGGTGATAAGAAAAAAATACTTGTAAAATCGTCTACATTTTTGTGGCAAATGATCATATGTCGTACGCGTTTTATTTGTACATCGGTCTCCTTTTGACAGAGTAGATGAGCTGTGTCCAGGCCGTTGATGTTTATGCCGGTCGAAGTAGCCAGGAATGGATTGAAATTTTATGGTGGCGGCGAAGCCGCCACCCTACGAGAAGTTGTTACTTCGTCTTCTTGTTGTCACGGCATTATTTGTTCATGTATGTGAAATTTGCTTCTAAGGTTTATAAAATACTACTGCTAGTCACGGCGTAACTGAAAACAAACAAGACGCATTCACACAAACACCTCCCATCACAGCAATTACAAATGATTAGTGTTGTCCCCGATACGCGAGTTTTTTCCGGCGGCATTTATGTTTCAAATACAGTAGACCGTTGTCCGGCGGCCTTATTAATACTCTGATAGCCTGCCGCCCTCATCAACAAATCAGTTTAGATTTTCGGCGGCATTCTTATATGTGAGAAGACCATGCCGCCGGAAGACGGTTTTCGTTTTATTAAATTCAAGTACCGCCGGCGGTCGGCTAGCCAGTACGTTGAAAAAAACTAGGTCCCAGATCTTCAGATTCACCCGAAACAAGTCTCGGCTCAATTCAACCATAGCCTTCATCAAAAGGCGTGGCTTGTACAGTGAATTATAAGTTAGACATGAACCACAATAGATCCATCTTGGTCATAGTGGAAGGCAATGAGATCATCCCACTTATTTTCAACCTATCAAACAGTGCCTGGCAAGATTAAACCTTCGGTCCTGCCTTGTTTGTGGAGTCAATAGTAAATGGCGTTCGTATGTGCAGGAGATGAAAATATGTGACAACGTTGCTAGTTATAAATACTATTTACTCAAACAAAAGCAAAAAAGGACCATCTCAATTAAATTTGGATTATTATAATTTAATAATAATCATTTATTCTCAACGGATTCACACCCAACTATAGAGGATGAGGATATATAGATTTATGATCAAAACCCCTAGGAGGATAAAAACCACTACAATTAAAATACATGTACTCAAGGCATTTACGTTGTACAGATTCTACATGTTAATTGAATTCTGATATATTGGGTACCATATCATTCAAGCATAATTCGATCTTAGTTCTGATAAATATGATATATAAAAATCTTAGTGTATTTACATCTGAAAAGCTACCCGTTTCTTATAAAATATCCCAGAAGCCTGTATACAGAAGAAACAATTTCTGCAAGTTCACTATCGGACTATTCCCCAATCATTGAATGTTACACGTTTATCCAAAATGGTATTGTAAAGAGAAAAATTGAAAATTTTGGGATTTTGTTTTCTATGATATTAGATTTCTCTTCATTTAGTTAAGTTCAGCTGTAGATAATTATCAAGGCACCAGTTGTAAGCATAACATTTTGCAGTAAGAGGCGATTTTCATTGGAATTGATTTCAATATAAATTTTTAAATCGTCGGAAAAAGTAAGTATGATAACGAGAGTTGATTTGATATATTGTTTATAAAAACAAGAAATAGTAAGGGCCCCAGTTTGGACCCTTGAATAATACCCGATAATGAAATATATCGTTTACACGACGTCAAGCCACCATAATACTCTACAAACTGGTATCGATTTAGCTTAAACCAAGTGTTATCTACTCAGTGCTATGCAGGTACACTCAAAGCTTGTGTGGGGCTGTTTGGAAGCCCTAACAGAGCTGGGTAATCAAAACAGACTATTCTTAGCCTGAGTACCAGGCCACAGAGAATATATGTGCAAAGAAGATGCTGATTTACTAGCCCAAGAAGGAGCCAAAAAGTCTCTTGTTGGTCCAGAACCCTTCTGTGGTATCACAAAGACAGGTATCAGAACATGTACAAAGCAGTGGATGTTTAAAAAATCTCAGGAATGGAAAAATTCACCAGGATAGAGACATACCAAAGAGTTCTTAAAAGGAGCATCGCTTTAACACAATGGGCATCTACTAAGCCATAATAGGAAAAATAATGAGAGTGCTAGTAGGTCTATTAAGAGGGCATTGTAGGCTTAACAAACATGTATAATATCGGCTTGACATGACAGAAAAGACCTTGTGTCGATTCTGCTAAGAAGAGAAGGAAACTGTAGTATACGTATTGTGCTACTGCGAAGGTCTATCGAGACTGAGATTCCTTACACTTGGAGAAGAAAAACCAAGAGTAAATAGCTACGTCGGAGAACAACTTCCGAGTCTACTCCAAAAAAACCAAACTACACAAGTTACTCTAAACAACGATTAAAAGATATCCACAATAGATCTGAAAAGATCGAGGTGGGAGAGCCACATGGACCACAGTCCCAATTAAATCTAATCTACCTACTCATTTGTACTAATACTGCTCACACACTACGACTCGAACCCAATACAGTAGATACATGAGTCATTTTAAAAATATTCCAGTGCTGATGAAAGCATGTAGGTCTCGAGGAGACTATTTCTACTAATTTTATGCCAGTCTTGTCGGATGAAACTTTCATTTGCATTTGTTTGAGATGTGCCACTATTGTTGCCAGTGAGCGATACGTCTTATTAAGTCTGTTGGCGAAACATTTATTACGGGTTTTATTCTTAAGTTCTTTGAAAGAATGAAGAAAAATTATAAGTAATGGTAGGGGAGCTAGTGACAGATTTTGGTATGTTATTTGCGCTATGCAAAATTACAAATTTTTCTTCCATTCTTACCTTGTAGAACATGGAAATACTTTGCCGCAGTCTCTACAGTGCTCGACAAAGATATGTAAATTGACGTAATCCTTCATTGCACAGATGGTTAAGTGTTTTCGTGCCCATGGTTCAATTCCCAGTCTTCATTTGTTTTGGAAAAAATATTGCTATTTATTTATTTTAACCCGTCGGCAATTTAATGGCTTTAGATAAGGCGGTAGTATTTCCATCTTCTACAAGACGAGAATAAACGAAAAATTTGTAAATTTGCTTTGCGCAAATGTGCACCAAAAAAATGTTTTAGATCCAATCAAATTGAATAGATCTAGGTTAAAAATATTTACCAGTATTCTGTTTGTTGAACAAGTATAATTTTCTGGCTTAACGTGTAATATCATGCTGATACCACATATTGGCTTAGAAGATTCCAAATTTTCAAGTGTAAATATTACAGTAAATTTCATTCCTATGCCTAATACCTACAAATAAAAAACAGTTTTTAGTCTCATAACGCCCTTTAACTAAAAAGGCTCACTATTTAAAAAAATTACCTGCGCCGATAGTTTAAGTTGACCTTTAAAATTAGCGATCTCATTTTCATTTGAATTATATTGAAGAAGAGACCTAGCCACGTCTAACCTCAGTTTTAAGAGATCTTTTTGAAAACTTTGATGTATTTCTGTAAAAAACACGTTTTACAAAAACTGAAACTAAAGATTTTCGCATGGATTGACTATTTTCGTCGTTCTTACTTACCCAAAGCTGATTCTCTTTCTCTCATACTCTGTTCTAAAAATAATTTGCTTCTCTTTGGTAGTGGTAGAGGTTTGGTTTGAAATTGCGGTACGTTTTCGGTACTATTTAAATTAAAATCTGCAGTTCGTTTTAAAATTCTGAAAATTACTGTCCCAGCTGAAAATCATTGTTAGTTTATTGTATAGATAAAAGAAATGATGACCTAACTGTATGTTTTCAATGAAAATGTGAAGGAAATTGTATAGATAAATGATGCTACTTGCAATTTTGAATAGGTAGAATAATTCAATATTAATACGATAAGCCCGGTGTCTAAGGCAATCTATGAATGTCTGCACTTAGAAATTCTTCAGGTTTATCCTTTATAAAAGGAAACTGTATTTCAGCAGTAGACGGGAAATTTGTGGCATGTAAATTAAACGCCTACTAAAAATACTACGCTGTTTATTCCACTATTGGAAACACAAAACAAATACTTTTTGTACACCAAGGCTTTCATGCTTCGAAAATGCACTTCTTTGCTAAGACACTAGGCGTTGAACCCGGGACCCGAGAATCTTTTTTGTTCGACGGTTAACACCAAATAAAAGTCAATCACTTTTATTTGGTGTTAACTACGCGACATCCGTTCTATTGGATGGCTGTGGGAGTGAGGAGCGGCGAAATTTCAAGTTAGTTCTTGCGTGAGTAGTCGTGGGTTTACTAGAGTCCAGAATATTATGGTGAACTGACTTCGTTGAGAGGGAGCGAGACAAGCATGGCAACATGCGAGATAGCTTGTACGAAATAATAATAATAGTCTCCCTAATTCACCCCCTTGCGAGTGAATTTCAACCCCAGAAGCCGACTGATCGACTTGTGTAGAGGAAGGGACGGCTTAATATTATTTGCCGTAGCGCTCCGGGGCGACTTAAAGATGATTGATGGTGCCATTTGACTTACAGGAGAGGAAAACCCCACCACAATATCAAAAATATTATTTTTTGAACACTCTACATCTTCCAAATGTCCTCCGTTACAATTTATGCATTCTTGGAGTCATGCCTGAAAGTTTTGCATAAGTCTGGGCAGCATATCAACAGGTATTACTGCAATCTCGTCAAGAATCCGTTGTGTAAGAGCTGGGAATGTCCTGGGTGGATCATTTACAAACACAAGTCGCAGGCGGTTAGGTCGGGAGACCGAGGGGGCCAACTGATATCCCCGTTTCGAGAAACGATACGCCCTGGAAACAAAGCATTTACAGCATTCATTGAAATTCTTGCAGTGTGACTTGTTGCCCCGTCTTGTTGAAAAAGTGTGTGTTCATCCACTGGAAAGCCTTCAAGTTGAGGTGTAAGAAAATTCTGAATCATTGCAACGTATCGTACAGAATTAACGGTAACGGCATTTTCAGCCTCATTCTCAAAAAAATATGGACCGATGATTCCATTTGCTGAAATCGCACACCATACTGTCACTTTCTGAGCATGAAGAGGTGTTTCATGAAGTAAACGATGGTTTTCCTCTGCCCAGTATCTAAAATTTTGTTAGTTAACAAAACCAGAGAGATAAAAGTGTGCCTCATCACTCATCCACAAATTGTTCATTTGGTTGTCATTTTCTTCCAGTTTGGCATGCATAATTTCACAAAAACGGATACGCTGTGGATAATCATCCGGGTTCCGGGTTAAGCGATTGCACAACCTGTATTTTGTAAGGGTGATATCCAAGATCCTTATGGAGAATCCTTCTTATCGATCTGTCACTTATTCCAAGACGTGTGGCGTGACGGATCGCCGATCAGCTTGGACTTCTTAACATTGCTTGTAGAGGTGGCCAAATATCGATAGTTTTATTTTCAAATTCACTATCGATAGTAACTTTAACTATTGTTACGCTATCGAAGTTCGAGATATGATGGAAAAATATAACCTATAAAACTTATATTTCAACGTCTTTGTTTTTCTGTGCTTGTAGATTCATTAAAAATATAAAATGGTAAAACGACAGAATCGTACATTTTGAATTATTTTAAAAGAGATGAGATTGGTAATATTTTAATTTAGAAAAACTGGTTATAAGTATTTAGGTAGTGTCAAAAAAGACTGGAAAATATTTATAGAGGTAACTGTGTGGTCCAAAATAAACAAGTCTTAATAACGATGAGTCCGCAAAGTAACGGTTTTGGAGATGTGAAAGGTTATTCTTCTTTTACTTCCTTTTTTATTTCGTAAAAACTTGCATTTTCTTATCATAGTTGGCTGATGTTTTGTGAAATTGCCTCGAGGAGCTGCAGCAATTAATTAACAAAAAATACCAACAAATTCGAGCTAATAATAGTTTGAATATCCTTCAGAAAAAGATGTATTTTAGCAAAAGAACCCATGACAATCACAACTACAGCAACCTCATCATTTGAAAAAGTTCATTTATATTTAGTTGGTCCGTTTGAAGCTGATTATGAAAATAACCGATACATCTTAACGGTGCAATGTGATTTAAGTAAATATGTAGAGGGGTATGCATTACCTAATAAAGAAGCAGTAACAGTTGCAAAAGCTTTTGTAGAAAACTTTATATTACGTTATGGTATATCTCATGAAATATTAACCGATCAAGGAACTGAATTTATGAACACAGTATTTACGGAGATTTGTAAAATGTTAAAAATTCAAAAATTAAATTCAGTTGCTTATCATCACGAAACGTTAGGACAAATCGAAAATAATCATAAACATTTTGGAGCATTTTTAAGAATTCAAACAGCGAACAATCCTGGAAATTTCAGTACTTGGATTTCTTATTGGTGTTTCGCGTACAATACAACGGTACATTCAGAAACGAAATATACTCCTTATGAGCTAATATTTGGTAAAAAGTGTAATATACCAACAAACATTTCTTGCAGCATAGATCCGTTGTACACTTTTGAAAATTATCCATCTGAATTAAAATATCGGCTACAGCAAGCATGGAAAGATGCTCATGAAAATTTATTAGAGTCAAAGAACAAACGGAAATTAACATATGATAAGAAAACTAAAAGTATAAATTATAAGGTAGGAGATAAGGTACTTGTAAGAAATGAAACTGGGAATAAAAGGGAATCTTTGTTTTTGGGGCCATATAAAATTATAAGAGAAGAATCTCCAAATCTTGCTTTAGAAATAGAAGGAAATGAAAAGTTAGTTCATAAAAATAGAGTTAAGTTGTATTATGAATAGAAAAAAATTTTAATTTAGGAAATTAAATTTTTTCTCAAAATCCTCGAGGAAGATGTAATGCCGGCCTTAGTTATTAAGTTTAAAATAGGCTTAAGTATAATTTTAATATTTGTAAATATAAATCATAATATTGTATCTAATTATTGTTAACGAAGAACTATGCAATTAAGTAGGTTACCTGTATTGACACCTAAGCAATATGAGGTAATTTGTTTAATTAGATAGTTTTTCCAATATAGACTGCAAGGTTCAATGAAAGAACGAATGCAGTAATTCTTTGAAATGTAACCCATATTCAAGTTAAAAATAAATGATGATATATATATTCGATTCGACTTTGGTTTCATTAAATAAATAGAAGATAGTCTCCTGTCCTAACATTACAGCATGCATGAAACTGGAAGGAACATTTATCTAAATAATTGTAATGAAATGTTTCAAATAAGAATAACCCACCATATCTCTGAAACTATTACGTTGGACTTTTGTTTATTTTGGTCCATACTGTTACCTCGCTTTAAATATTTTACACCCCGTATATTAAAGTTGAAATGCACTGTGCAATTTTTAGTTGTTTTTATTTGTTTTATATACCCTGGAAAAGTGAAAGCACCCCAATTTTTAATAAACTATAAATTTGAATATTTTCTTCTTTTTTTGTCATATTTATAGGTTAATTATATTATTGATAGCACTTCAGAAAACTATCGCTACCATCGATAGTTATAACTATCGATATTTGGCTATCTCTAATTGCTTGTCGAACACGTTCGATATTTTTAGGGGTTCGAACTGTTTTGTCACTACCACCCCTTTTTTAGATGTCGATCCTGTTTGTTTCAAGTTGTTTACCCATTTTTTTATCGCTTTATCTGATGGGAAAGATCGGTTGCGTGGTATGTTAAAATGCCATCGAAAGTTACGGCGCGTTTGCACTAATCTCTTACCATTTTGAAAATAGGCTTTAAATGTGTAACCACGATGCTCACCCGTCCAACGCTCCATTGTAAACTAAAAGGTAAATCATGCAGGTCTTGGCAAGTCAGCTACTTTCTTCCCCACTACCTCGCGGCGCGCTGCAAACCATACCTCAAATCTTTCCTTTTCACTGCCGGACCCTGTATATCTCTATTTTTCAGCATTAAATACTAAATCAAAGACTTAAAATGTAAAGTTTATTCTGGCACATTTAAATGCCACTATTGGTGCCGCTTAAATACAAAACTTATTATGATGCTTTAGTGTCACATTCATCTTGTCGGGGAATATATACTAACTAAAATTGTACCAGTCTTACTCGAACGAAAAGATATTGAATTAAATTTTTGATACTATATTTAATTGTTGAGTAGTTGTGCCACTATTGCTCTCGGTGAGAAAACACATTTTGTTGAAGTTGTAGAATTTAAATACACAACCTAGGGGCCAGGCCCCTACTGGGAATCGCTAACCTGTAAATATACTTACATGTCTAATATCTCCTGCGCAGCTTGAAATTTGCAATTTATTAAACATATTAAAAAATACACTTTAGTAAACTTTTTATTTTTCCCAAATAGAAAATAATAATGTACAATTCATTCCTTAAAAATTACATACTTGTAAAATATATAAGTCTTTTCAACGAAAATGAGACTCTCGGCCTGATACAGGAAATCAAATTTTCATCCTACTCTATTATATGACGACGGTTTCGAATTTCGCAAAATTTCGTCAATAACTTTACTCCGATTAGAGTTTCTGACGCAATCCCGAGGGACAATCCGTATATACTAATACATATATAAAATATCAATTAAAACTTAACGCACAGCTTTTTCATCTTATTGTATTAACAATTTCTAGGAAAATAATGTATAAAATTAAATAAATACTACGTTCTGAAATATCAGATCTATCAGATGTAACTTTTAACAATCCTCGAAGACAATAACATAACAATATTTACAAAAAAAGGTTTTTCTTATTTATTGGTAATTATTTTTTAACTTAGTCTATTATGTAATAGTGTTACGCTACTGTCTTTTATTCGTAAAAAATTATCTTCTCTTGTATTTTGATTTTGTTTTACTATTACTATTATCTTGAAATAAATACAGCTATCTTTTTGCTGAGCATAATAAACCAAACTTTGCGAAGTCAGACTTGACGGAGTTCATTCTTGAACAAAAATGGAAGTTCGGTTATAACTGCTCTGGGGTTTGAGTATTGCACTAGAACTTAGATATGGACAGATGAACAGATTTCTAAACGTAACAAAACAAATAGTACTGTACAAAATTGCAGATGAAAATTGCGCAGCAGATTTGTCAAGTAGTCGTTTATTTCGCGCCAGTTAATACAAGAATCAACCGAATATTTCTCGTCGCCAATTTTGTTTTGCTAGCCGTTGAGCGTGACTTGACAAGTCACGTCAGTCTTCACCTAAAAGGATTGTTTGATTTGAAACTCGATCGAGTGAGTTCCGAGAAGTGATAATGCGCTAGTTCAGTGTGATGTCATTTTGGTTCCTCTGACATTTAATTCTAACCAAACTTTTAACAAAAACATCAATAAATTTGACATATACGTTTTTACTGATTTAAGTTTATTTCTAAATATTTGCCGCGTTTGAGAATCCACATCGGATGCATCTGAGATGTAGTAAATCTTTGATCACGTGATTCAGTATACGTAAATGTAATGTGACAGATGTGTCCGATATGGATAGAAAAACGCTCGAGATGTAAAAAATGCATCCGATGTGGATTCTCAAACACGGCAATTGTTTACAGGTCATTAAAAATAGTTGAAAGGTACGTAATTGGTAACTAAACGATTGTATATTTGATGCATGTTATCTACTTACTTTAGGAATATATCTATAAAAGTGAAAAAACGATATAATTTAGGTAAACAAAACGAACAAAACGCACTCAAAAAATCTACTGTCACTTTAATTGACAATGGAACCATAATTACATCATCACTGAACTAGCGCATTAGGCATTCCAACAACCTGTCAAACTGATGACAAGTGGGAACTGACATATGGCAACCCTGTGAGCCTGTTGTCATTGACAGGGTCAATGATACATATATAATTATATAGATTGCTCAAAGCGGGTCGTTTGCGAGCGGCCATATTGCTTCGCAAGTGCTCATTAATCAGAATCGATTTTGCAAAAATGTGTTTAGAAACCAATATTTAGCCTTTGAATATAGTAAAAAATAAATTACCTACATTTTTACTTCAAGGCATAAGCTTATGTTTATTTTGAAAAATATGGATGATCCATCTATGTAACTATCTATTTCATTGACCTTGTCAAATCACCAGCTCTGTCGAGTTGCCATAATTTTGCCATATCAGAACCTGTCAAAACCATTTTGTTTGGAATGCCTAATAGAGCATTGAATCAAATCAAATAAAACAGTAAAATATATAACCTCGTTTTTTGCGATTCTTGTTTCTGGTTTGTGTGTCAAAACAGTGAGTAAAACGTGAAGAAAATGGAAAAACTTTTAAATAATGTTACGCCAGTGCCCATGAACCCAGCTTAATGGGATCTGGCAGATAAGTTGGGATCAGTCAAGTTGATGTTTGGAATTATAAAAAGAGTTAATTATATACATTTTAAAATAAAGTTGTTTTATATAACCCTGGGTCGTTTCAATAATAAGGGGCAATGGCCTTGAAATTCTCCATATACCACAGATGTCCGCTTCACTTTCAAACTCAATGACTGTGATTACTGGTGATATCTGAGCAGTGAAAATGTATTTTCCCAACACATTTTATTTTTTTATGATGAATAATTTTACCTATTCAAAATCGGATAAATAATTTGTTGACTGCACACTCGAATCTCAAATTTTGACAATGACACATTTCTCTGTCTTCTCAATCCTTCTGCTCTGAAAATGTCGAGCTCGCTCTTTGTTCTCACTCCAAAGCGAGACAAATACTTTTGGGATCGCTAGGAGTGTCAATTCAAACAGTATGCAGTCAGAGATATCTGATGATCAAATCAAACGCACCAAAAGATTTGAAAATTTATTTTAAGATTAATTTCATCACTCTCACAGCAGACTTTGGCATTAGTCAAGAGTAGTGTGCACTCTTATTTTCTGAGATAAAGATAATTTGGAAATGTTGTCAGTACATTGTACAACACAACCTATAAATCTAAAATAAAGAATTCAAGAAAGTATGAGGTGTGTACACACTGGATAATAAGTAATTAAAGAATGTCTATTTACAGTGTGTATAAGAACTAAACTTCTTTGTTTATTAAAGTCGAGCGTTTTCGGCGTTTAAGCTATTATTGGGACACTGCAAAGATTAACATAGATAATAGCTCTTTTCAATGATTCCTAATTTAGTGACCCAAGCTGTTTTTCCTTTGTTAGTTGGAAGGAATGATCTGGTTTCAGCTTTCAAGATTCAATCCGCCCCCAAAAGGCACCCCACTCCAAACTCTACTAATTTTTGGGTGGACAAGAAGTCTAGTATAAAACTGTTTTCTTTGCATTATTTCCACTTGTTGCATTTTGCCTTTTACCTACGTGGCGGAGCTACGTGCTTGGCTCATGACGCTGAAGTTGTGAATCAATATTTTCGTTCGATTACCTGTTATTTTTTATGATTTCCTATGTTTTTGACGAGTAAGTTTAATAATTGTTTTTATTAATCATAAGGTTAATCTTTGCAGTGTTCCGATGATGGTTTAAACACCGAAAGCGAAATATATTTGTATAATTTTCATTCTTATACATACTTTAATTACATCTGAAATAAAGAATCGGAGAACTTCTAGAATCATCGGACAAAAACGCAAAGAATCATTATAACCATTGAGATATAATAAACAGAAGATGCTATGACTATACTATACATTTTTACGTCATGTGAGAATAAATGCCTCTTTTTAAAGCTTCATTTAAATGATATAAAAATATTTTCATTCCGTCAACTTCAAATATAAAATTATTGACTTCAAATAAATCAAAGCCGTCATTTTGATTACACTTTTCCGTCAGCCCTTGGCATCGCTAAGTCCGCCCTTCTGTCACATTGCAAAATATCTTTTATGTCGTTCTACTTCATTCTATTTCGATGATTATAAGAAATCAGCTTATTAAAACACACAACAACAAATCTGTTATTGCCCATCTCTAAATGCTCGTGATATACTCAACATTTTATTCTCATTCTAGAACGAATGCAACTAAGTCTGACTTGGCGAAGTCTAGTTTATAAATATGGACTTAAACCGGACTAGATTAAATCTTCCAAAACTAATAAAAAAAAACATCGTTTCCCATAAAATAATTATTGTTCTTTAACGTTGTTACCTCCATTGCCCTCCCCTTGCGGTCCCAAGTCCTCATCGTCGTCTTCGCCGTTCTCCAACCCCTGCGCGATCAAAAAATCGATAATCCTATAATCCCTCCCCCCGGAGTCGGTATTCGCGATCCACAACGGCAACCATTTGTTGGCCAGCAACCACTGCACGGAAACTTTACTGATACGCCCCGAATTGTCTTTGGTACCGTACAGGTTCTCGATAGCGTAATGGTTGCTGTTGATGGAACCGCAAGAGGACGATAGATGGCGTTCGATACGCCCGATCCCGTGACCAATAATGTCCATTCTACCGTACGCGTTGCCGATCCTGCAATACGAATTGCTGCAGCTCGGCTGATCCGAATTCGCCTCGTACGGAGGTTCTTCTACTACTACTACTTGGTGGGGATTAGCCGCCCCTCTGAGATCCTCGATCGTTTCGTAAATGTTTTCGTTGATGGCGTGATTTTCGACGTTGTTGTTGGTAATGCTGGCGTTGGGGTTGCTGGGGTCATTACATATCATTTCGTAAATGTTTTCTTGGTATAGAGATGCTAATTGCTGGGTTTCGTAACCTACGGCGCCTTCGGCGTTGCTGCTTTCGTCAATGTATTTATCGCCTGCGAAATTACGATGTTTTTAGCAATTATTGAAGGGAACCAGAAAAAGTAAATTTGTAAAGTAAGTATTCGAAGATTGATAATTGGGAAAATTAAAAAATGACGGCACAGAATGCCTTGGAAAAGATAAAATAACACGCTACAAATAGATAATAATAGTAGAACTCTTGCAACAAAAATTATAATCAAATGAATGTGTTCTTACCCGTATCTCCACCGCTACCAGCACTGGGCAACCTTCATATCGGCTTATCGATGATCGCCACTCCCGCATAGCTGCGACCGATGCTCATGCAACTGGACAGCATCGTCCAACAGTCAGTCTTGGGATTGTAAACTTCCACGGACGCCAGATTACTGGATCCGTCATCGCCGCCTACCACGTAGAGCAAGCCGTTCATGGCGACGACGCCCGCGTTCCGCCGACATAGGGCCATGTCGGTGACGGACATCCATTTGCACTTGGCTGGGTCGTATGCCTCGACGGATTTACGAACTAGCGGGCCGTCGTGGCCGCCTACGGCGTATAAGATGCCCTCCAGGACGCCTAAAGAAATAGAAAATGTCTACACTTCATTTTTAGAGTAGGAGGAACGAATTGAAATGTCGCATTTACACAAGGAAAAGTTACCCCAAAAGTAACTAAAAGTTTAGAAGTTACAAATTTAGAAGTCATTAAAAAGTCTATTTTTTATTTTTATAAAAATTATGTTATTACATATTTCATAAATTTATATATTCTATGCTTATCTTTAAATTCTTTTTGCTGTGATTTTATACTTATACATTTTTAATATCTCTCCCAGACTGTCAAGTCCAAAATTGTTAATTACTTTCATTGCGACGGTCAAGAAAATATAGAAATAAATTAAAATTTTCTAAATTTAACCGCTTCCAAACTATTTCAGTGCTTTATAATTATTTGAATTGAAATAATGTACCGAATTAAATTTGTTCCAAATTTAAATCAAGTGCGTAAATCATTATAATTCAATGCACTTGTTGTCATCATTTTTTTAAACATATTTATAGAATCGCAATTATAAAACTGGCCAAAATATTACAAACGACAAACGTAGAACGCTCTAGCGCCGTGCGTGTTACTAAAATGGTGCAATTGTTTTCAAAAAGTAATAAATATTGCGTAAAAAAGTATTTTTAGTTTACATTTTAACTACGACTTATCGTTTTGTTGCGTTCAATTAATAATAATAATAATAATAGCTTTATTGCCCAACAGTTTCCCATTTACAGGACAATATTCTTAATAGTAAGTAACAATAATAAAGTGGTATTCAATTGAAGGGCTTATAGCAAAAATAGCACTTGTCAAAAAATCAATATTTTCAGGATAGTTGAAAAAGCTAATATCTTAAACACGAAAAGCAGTACCAGCGTAAAATATTATTAGATCGGTAAATTAAACTATAGGCTTTATTGGCAACAGTTTAATTTTATAAAAAAACAAAATATTTAGTTGGTACTTTGATTTTTCGCTTTGACAAATGTGGTTTTTGACAGAAACTGACCAGAAATTAATACTTTAAACACCTTTATTATGTTAACTTCAAAATAACAAATTATTTTGAAACCTTAAATATTACTAAAATAAGAACGAACATAGAAAAATATTGTTTTTGTTATTCAGAATCACCGTAAGCACTACTATTATCCTCTTCGTCTATATCGGGATTTTCTTGGTCTTCGCCACCACCGTTACCAAGAACTAGAGAGTCGTAAAATGCGCAATGTTTTTTTTTTTTTCTTTAAGAACACTGCTTAGTGTTTGCAGGTCTGCTAACTTCACTGGATTTAGTGGGATTGGACCATGGTACAATGGGCTTAGATGTAACTCATTTGATAATGCATGCTATATTTCGATAGGCTTTTTACGGGTGATGATATGAGTTGTTTTTGCCGGAAATAAAATTACCTACCGATAACTATGGATTATCTGAAGGCAGTGTTGCCTATACCTCAAAAATTAAATTTTCTGACATGTGCTGTTTTTGCTATAAACCCTTTAATTCCTATCGTTGGTTTGTTAATTTACCGGTATCAATCTTATTGACTTACCTACACCAGCACCGCTTCTTCTGCAACACATATCCGGTACAGTCGTCCAAGTATCAGTCTCCGGCGTGTAACATTCAACAGAGCTCAAACATTGTCTAGAAGCTCCGTCGTATCCTCCTACAGCGAACAGCTGGCCGTACAGAACTCCCACGCCTACGCTGCTGCGTCTCGTCGACATCGAAGAAATGATACGCCATTTTCCTGAGGGAGATTTTAAATGGAATATAAAAAAAAGCGGCTAGCCAAAAAGATTTACAAATTAATTAATAAGAAACTAAATAAGTTGGTGAAATGAGTTCGAAAAACAAAAGTTCGAAAGATAAAACTACAAAAGTTCGAAAAATAAATTATCGAAATTTTACAAACGTTTGAAAGTAAAAAATGAGCGAATGTAATTATTTTTAAATTATTTTCGAACTTACAAAAACCTTAATTTATGTAAATTTAGCTGTTCCATATATAGCGGTATGTTGAACGGCCTGGAGCCATTGCATAAAAAAATATCCTTTGATTTCGTTCTAATCTTCGAATTTTTATAGTTTCGAAATTTTTAATTTACAAATGTTTGTTTCGAAGTTACGTCATTCGCACTTTTGTATTTTCTATGTGTTGACATTCGAAGTTTTTTGTCATTCGAGTTTTGTCATTCGAGTTGTGTCATTTAAAGTGTTGTCATTCGAGTTTTGTCATTCGTATTTTTATAGTTCTGTTGTTTTCGAAATTTTGTTTTTAGAAATTTTATAATTCGAACTTTTGTTATTCAAAATTATTTCACCAACTCAAACTAAATACCTAAGCAACAAATATTTTATGTTTGAGAAGTTATTGTAAAGACTAAGGGTGTTTACATGCCGAAGATGCCTCGATGATCGATGACCGATAGGTGTTAGTTAAGTTGATGTCAATCGATGTAATTACAAATGTATGGTGCGAGAGTTCGCTAATCTTTGGTATGTACACTCTTATTTAAATTAGTAAATTTGTTATTTCATCCAGGGGCGGTTTCTTAATTGATTCATTTGTGCAGTGAACACTACCATATAGACAAAAAATTAAAGTGTAAATTTTTAGTTGGCCTGGGCGTGGAAAAGTTGCCTTTTAGCCCATCGAAAACACTCGTAAAAAATATTTGAAAAATTATAACGATTTCAGGTTCCTTTTTTATAAGATAATACGTAATAGGCAAAAATTTGAATTTTTAATTGGCCTGAGTACGGAAAAGTTGCCTTTTTGTCCACCAAACACACCTGTAAAAAAATTTTGAAAAATTAAAATAAAAAACTAGGATTTTTCCTTGTAATAGTAAAATTTCAAAATCAAAAAGGAACCTGAAGATATTATTTTTTTAAACTGATTTTTTTGTGGATAAAAAGGGTCTATAAAGGCAACTATTCCGCACCTAGGGGTTGGCAAATTCGAAAATAAGTTTTTTCGCTCCACCCTAGTGAACACCCACTTACATTTCATTTCAGTGAGTGCGAGGAAGCGAGAGGTTTTTGCGAAAGCCTGTAGCTAAACAGAGAAGTCAACGCATCAACAGATTCGTGAAGCAATATATCAACTTGAAATTTTTAGCAATCTAGCTCTATAAGGAGAAGAAGCCCTTTGATTTTGAAAAAACTCTAATGAAACTAGGGGATTTAAGTGATAAATCAAAAATGAAAAGCGATATCAACACGAAATTTTTTGTAAAAATCAGGAGATTAAATCTAATGATTCTGAAAAAAAAAACCTGATTGAAAATGGGGGCTAAGGGGGTCTGTTAAACTGTGAAGAATATAATTTATAATGCCACCCATTATATGTCTTCATTCTAGTTTGTATCTGTGTAATGTTATGTATTGTGATGGGACTGATATTTTAATAACGCAAAACCTAAACAAATTAAGCAACTAGACGTTTTTTTGGCGCGCTTTTGCTAAAAAATCATATATCACCAAGTAGGCATATGACAATAAGCCGCCAAGAAACGTGGTCCAAAATTATTTGTCGAAAGGTATACAGTAAGTAAATGCTTACACTGGATGCGGATACGTGCGATTTTTTAGTCGTGCGATGTCGTAAGACCGTTTGTCGTACGATTGTGTGGTTACATTACATTCGTTGCATTCGTAGTTTCAATTCAAAACGGATGACGAAGGGGATTTAGATTTCCTTAAAAAAAGTTGTTTGAAATTTATGATGTTAAATAAAAAAAGAAAATATTGGGTTTATGTACTTAAGGAGAGACCAGGAAGGGGAGTACGTAACCCTTTTCAAGGAGTTAAGCAAGTAGCCACAAAAGTGGAGTACTTTAGAATTTTGCCTTCAACATTTAATTATATACTAAATAGAATCCATCAACGAATCGAAACATATTCTAATTTTCGATTAGAAAATAAAACTTTTTGCGTACCAAAGGATCAAACTATTCCAAATACAGATATTATCATTCCATATGTGCTTTTGGACGATGAAGCCTATCCTGTAAAAGTGTATTTAATGTGACCATATTCTGGTCGTAATCTCAGTGAACAAGAAGAGAATTATAATTATAGACTATCCCGAGCAAGGATGATTGTCGAATGTGCATTTGGCATACTATGTTCCAAATGGAGGATCCTCAAAAAAGACAGAATGCCATCCAGACAAAGCAGATATGATTGTTAAATGCGCATGTATTCTTCATAATATAATTATTGATAAAGAAAGATGTATCGAAAATAATTTTAAAATGAACTCTGAGGAAATAAGTGTTACTTGTTTCTTCCATTTTCTTTGCTCTCTTTCCATCCCTTTTTTACTATAACTCTATTATGATAGTCTTTACATGTTTGATACAACAACGGCTTCCTCGATTGAACACATAAAATTAACTTTTCTAAGCCCATTTTAAATAAATCTTTTAACAAAATCTTCTCAATTATTATTGAATGTGCCACAGGCGTCAGCTTTCTATATCGTTAATATCGTACGATGTCGCCGAGAAAAACAAACGCGTTTGTTCTTGTCGCAGTTAATGTAACCGCACACCTTTAAATCAGTTAGTTTGTTTTTACGTCCGACATCGTACGATATCGCACGACTAAAAAATCGCAAGTATCTGCATCCAATGTAATCATTCACTTAGTGTGGTGATATGAACAGCATCAGGTAAATTTTTAGTAAATTAGCCTCAACAAGGTATTCAATTACCAAATCTCCCAGCGTTCACGGTTACAAAAATCAAAAGAATGCAGCTGTGAACAACAAAAAATATATTCTGAGATTTAATACATTTCACAATAAGTTGTAACAAAGAAATCACTGGTCAGTTAAATAAATTAAAGTGAACAAACCACTTCATGTGTCGAAAAAATCATTAAGAAAGTAAGCAGAGCCACAAGGCTTCAAAGTTAGCTTTAGACGGTGTGGTACATCGAAAGTAATTATTCAATACCAGAAAACATCAAGTAACCTTTTTTCCATCCAAAAAGTACGGTAACAATTTTTAATCAGAAGTTGTTAGGTATTAATAATTATGACAGAGAGATGATAAAATAATTTAACCTATTCGTCATTATATAGCAGAACCAATTGCATATCTAATCAATATGTCTGTAAAGAGTGGCATATTCCCCAAAGAACTTAAAACTGGTATAGTATCACCTATTTTTAAAAAAGGTGATTCAACGGCTCTTGAAAATTAGAGATCTATCACAGTGCCTACTATTCTTTGTAAATTTTTTGAAAAATGTATATATAAAAAAATGTTATCATTTTTATTTAAATTTAAAATTAGATCAACAACATGGGTTTCTTCCTGATAGGTCAACAGAAAGTGCTACTATTGCCTTTTTAATTATGTCCACAATCAGCTGGATAGAAAAAGGTTAGTGAGTGCGCTCTCTTATTATTGGAAAATTAAGTGCTTTAGGTTTTAGGGGTAACTTTTTGCAATGGATTAATTCCTATATAGATTCTCGTAAAATGTCTGTTAGAATCAATGGTTGCTTATCAGAAGTAAAGGACATTGATCGCTATGTTCCTCAGGGATCAGTATTGGGTCCACTCATATTTCTCCTTTACATAAACGACTTGCCTAACTTCATCGCATCTGGTCACATTTCAATATATGCAGACGATACCAATGCTGTTGATGCAAAATCACCTGAGGAACTTCATTCCAAATTCTCTTCTTGCTAGAGAATTTACTGCATGGTGTAAAAGAAATGCATTAATTGTTAACTTGAACAAAACAGTACTTGTTCACTTCCATTCTAGATCAAGGATAAGTACAGATTTTTTTAATACAAATAATGATTATATCCCACTGTCCATGAAAAAAAATTCCAAGGAGTTTTTATAGATGCAGATATGAGCTGGAGTTCCAATACTGACTCCGTTTGCAAAAAATTAAATAGTGCGTACTATGCAATTCTCCAATTAAAAAAATATGTTGGACACCAAACAGCTTCTTCAAGTTTACTATGCGATTGCATATTCATATTTAGCTTACAACATATTGCTTTGGGGAAATTTCAACAATATATATTCTCAAATGAGCTATTATATACGTTAAAACAAACATCTCCAAATTTACCCGTAACTCAGAAAACAATACTTCCTTATGTTTCAACCATGTTCGAAAAAAGTTCATACTACTGTGGAATAAGGTTATTTTATCATCTACCTACCTCTCTAAAACAAATTAATAGTCTGAGCTCATTTAAATGCAAATTAAAAAGCTATTTATCCCAAAAATGCCCCTATAGCATTCATGAATGTCTCCTGTAGTTTTTGTAGTACAGGGTACAGCCTATGTCATATGGGTGTTTTCAAGCATATCAGTCTTAATTTTAATTTTGTGTATTTATTGTTAAATTGTATATTTAAATGTGTTAGTTATATTTTATATCTGTTTTGTAAATGTATACTATTGTACATCTTTACATGTAAATGACTTATCCTATATCTTGTATAAGATCTAAAAGGATTAATAAAGTATTATTATTAACCTTTGAATACTTGCAACCAGCCATTGTAATTACACGTCTTGTTATAAGTATTAAAGATCATCAACGACAAATTACCCCTGAACTTCGTATACACAAATCTGTGATTTGCTCGAGAATAAATAAATACGAGTATATAGATTTTGTACAAAATTACCTGTTTGGAGATCAAACATTTCGGCACTGTTCAACCCTGTCGATCCATCAAACCCACCAACGGCGTAAATACAGTTATTCAACACAGCAACGCCTAGAGTAGACCGTCTGGCTTCCATACTGTCGCAGCTCGTCCACACATCCAAGGCGGGATCGTAAACATCGACGGTTTTTACTCGAAGAGATCCATTGAAGCCGCCGACGGCGTATACTTTACCGCCCAAAACGGCTAGTCCTGCCCTGCATCGTCTCGTCGGCATTTCGGCTACTTGGTACCAACGTTCTTCTTTAAAATCGTACGATTCCACACTTCGGATGGCTTTAGGGGCTTGACCGCCGACTACTAAAAGGACTTTGGGTAGACCTAGAAGTTGTTATCTTATTTTGGTATCATTAATTTCTTTTCAAAATAAAAATTTAATAATAAATAATAAGGCATATTCCATGGGTCTAATAAAACTTAATTAATTAAAGAACATTTATATTGATATTAAAATATGAAAAAAATCTTAAAATACCTATGTACTTTTAAGTTCGGAGCATATAGAAATATTTTTATTATTAATTTTAAGAAAAAAAGTATTTTTTAAAAATAGTTTTGCATGGTCTAAAATCCAAAATACAACCATCAGTTATAAAAAAATATGAATTGTATGCGGGAGTAAAATACTTTTATTTTTGACAATATTAAAAATTGTTATAAAGGAATGTTGATAAGAATTAAAAATTTCATCATAATATGCAATAATATCCATCTATGTTGGAAAATAAGATTTTATTTTTTTGTAGTATGCTCACTTATAGCGGAGTAATTTACATTTACCTAATAATGGATCTCAATTTATTTATTTTTTTCGTATAAAGGATCAAAAAGTGTCTTGACACAAATTTGTAAACATTACTTTTTCATTTTCGAGATATGATTATTCGATATCAAAAACGGCAAACTTTTATTACGGATTTAAAAAAATGACTACACCACTGGATTTATAAATCTTATAAAAGTAAGCAATAAAAATTTCACTAAAAAATATTTGTTAATAACAGAGTTATAACAATATTAAATTTGAAAACGCAAGCATGTCACATTTATTGTTTGAAAAAATATCGAAAATTATAGAGTCAATTATAAACATAAATGTAATTCTTTTGGCAGTAAAAACGCAGCAGGTGGTGGATAAAAAAAAAACAGTACAGATTATCAAAAATAGTAGTTTGTGCAACAAGAGTGGATACGGACAATCCACTCGAGTTGTACAATATATTTTTTCTACGACCCATTAACGAAAATTTCATTTAAAAAAATATTTTAAGATTAAGATAAAATAACTAATTTATTTCAAAATAATTTATGATTTTTACTAATTTATAAAATAAAATAAACTTGAAAAAAAAATTGACTTAATTAGTCTCCAATTCTAGATTTGAACATGGGACCTCTCACATGACAGGTAAATACTCTACTCTCAGCTCCTTCGACACACTTAAAATTTTAGTTTTAATACTCAGAATTAAATTGATTTTATATAGTTATATTAAAATTTATGATTTATTTGTAAATATAGATGAAATAAAAATAGAAATGCTAAATAACTCATTTTAAAGTATACTTAATCCCAATAACTAAAAAATATACTGACAATAATTAGTATGACAGAATTGTCACTTATTTAAAATTTTAAAAAATAATAGCAGCCGGGTGACCAAAATATGATTGGTGGATTTCATATTTGTGCAGTATTCTTACTAGGTAGAATGGATATCAAATCAAATATATTCATTCAGATAAACACAATACCATACTATCCCGTTTTGTAGTCTGTGCGTAGAAAGGCTAGCTAATAATCCATGTTGGTGTAGAAAAAAAAGCTCATTTGAATATCGAAGAAGAAAGTTTATAGTTAATTCATAGGAAATTACGCCATTATTAAACACGAATTTTTGGTGATTTTCGAAATACAGGTACGTTTTGACCTTAGTGGTCTACCCCTCGAGTTTTAAGGTCATTAAGACCAAATTAAATACCTATAGCTCTCATTCTTTAACGTTAAATTTATTTAAACTACATATTATCGTCTCGGTAGTGCAATATGTCAAGTGGCCAATTTTTATTTACGGACCTTTTGCTGATTTAAAGATCCCAAACCCAACCATGTGAATTTTTAATTAATATGCATGATGTAGGATTTGATGGGTGTATATTTATTCTTATTATCTGACATGTTATCTACATTGATTTAATATTTTAAAAATTACCAAACAAATGCTTCTACGAAAGTCATTGATTATTTACTGAAAATAAAAAGACATTTATCTTCAGATAGACTAGTTAAATATAGATCGATGGCACGTGGAGAAAAGTAAAATTCTCACTAAAACAATATCAAAAAAGAGAAAGTGAAGCATTTTCAAAAGCATTAGATTGTAGTTACAATAAGTCAGAATCAAATGCAGACACTGAAGAGAAAGATAATATTGATGGTGAAATATATTTTGCTACATATGATATTTGGTATATCCATTGAGATAGAATAAAGAGGAGATGCTATGACCATACTAAAAGTGTCTGCAACTTTGCTTTACACTTTTATGTCATGTGTTAAACTCGAGCTAGCAGAGCTAGTCAGTTTTGGTGAGAATATAAATGCAATTTTTTTAATAGTTTCATTTAAATGAAATAAAAACACATTTTCATTCCGTCAATCTTCAAACATAAAATTATTGACTTCAAGTCGCCATTTTGATTACACTTTTCCGTCAATCTTGGCATCGCTAAGTGTCGACCGTCTGTCATATCGCAAAATAGTTTTTATATCGTCTCTACTTCATTCTATTTCGATGGGTATATTCTCGGGTATATCAGGGGGGCTATTTTCAAAGTATGGGAGCACTCATTTCTCTCAAGATTCTCATCAGAAATGTCATAAGTCAATGTGGAAACGCTGGTTTTAAAGGCCTCGAGGATTAAAATTCTTAATAAACCGAGTGAAACAGTTAGTGAGTTCACACTGGTCCTAAGAGCCCTAAAAATACTGTTTTACGTTGACGTATGACATTTCTCTTGAGAGAAATGAATTCGCTCGAGTTTGAAAATAGCCCCCCTGAAGAGTCATAGACATTTTCGAAGAGACCAATACATTCCAATATTTTCTAAAAGTGAATAATTTCAGCCTCGAGAAGATGACATTCAAATTGTGGAGAAAAAATGTATGTATTTTATGAGACAATAGATCTTGTAGGAATCCCACCAGTTGTTTTTAAAAGATACGAAAAACTTAAGTTATTTAAAATCAGAATATAAAAAAATAAACAATAATTACAAATTATTCAGTATTTAACTTTGTGGTTAGGAGCAGTGCTATTTATATAGGAAAAAAACTGTAACATTTAATCAGCAAATCTATTTTGATAATATACATACATAGTTCAACAATTAATTATTGCTTTTAAAGAATGATTCATATTATAAGAAGTCTGATTCACTAACTACATTTTAACAAAATAGACGTAAGTATACAGTATGGTTCAAATGAAAGGAATAAATTCATTATAATGGAAGTAGTTGGTTTTTCGAAAAAATGCTCGGACAGGTCAATTTTGTTTACTAAAAACGCAATTTTTTAAAAAAGAATTCAAGTTTCTCCCACTTCCCATTTTTGGGCAGTGCCGTCTTTGGCAATTTTTTTAAATAGTAACCCCATTTTTTTCTTCATGGTTTTGATAGATCTTGCAATTTCCTACTCGGAAACATAATATTTGAAATATCTTACATAACAATTTTTTTGAATAAAAGTCAATTAAAGATCAGACACAAATTTTATTTTGAACGAAAGTTAATTATTCGTAATTAAGTGCTTAATCTAACAAAATAATAATAATAAAAAAGAATTTAATGACAATTTCACAGCAAAATAATTAAAAAATATTGTACTAAATTAGGTGTTTAAAATGTCCTCCACCGACGTCTTGCCATTTATTAGTACAATAAATATTATTATTATTCATTAAATACAACCAAACCTATGTCAAGTGTTAAAATGTTGACCCTCAGCTAAAATACAATGGGAAAGACGTGCAGCGATCTCTTCTTGGACGTTCTCCAAAATTTCCGGAGTTATGTTTGTAATCTCAATACGTATCCGTTCTTTGAGATCATTGATATTTTGTGGTCTATTTTGGTACACTTTACTTTTCAAGTATCCCCATAAAAAGAAATCAAGAGGAGTTAAATCGGGTGACCTAGGAGGCCATTCTATTGATCCTCTTCGACCTATCCACCGATTTGGGAAGATGTTGTCCAAGTAGTTTTGCACCAAGACAGCATAGTGTCTTGCTGTAGCCATAAATCATTTCTGTTTGGGAACAATCCGTTCAATTCGGGGATCTAGAAGTTTTGAAGAAATTCTAAATATCGTGGACCTGTTAAGGTTTCTTCGAAAAAGTATGGCCCAATAGTCTTATTATCTATTATTCCCGCCCAAACATTCACTTTTTCTGGGTATTGAGTATGATACTCTTGCATCCAGTGTGGATTTTCGGTAGCCAATACCGAGAAGTCTGACGATTGACATGACCGTTTAGTAAAAATGTAGATTCATCGGAAAAAAGTATATTTTTTAAAAACATTGGATTTATGTTGTTTTTGTCCATTGTAATTTCACAGAATTCAACTCGTTTATCAAAGTCATCTTCCATAAGTTCTTGTACTAAAGTAATTTTGTAGGGATGCCACTTTTGCTTCATTAGCGTTCTAAGAACTGTTGAATTTTCCAAGTCATTATCTAATGTACTTGCCGTGAACTGGTATGGGGATTATCTTCAAAGAACATCCAGTTTCTTGTTTTCGGAAATTGGGTTTCTACTATCTTTAGTGATGTCTTTCACATGACCCGTTTCTCTGAATTTTTTCTCAATTTTACTCACACTGGATTGTGAAATTGGTTCTCGGTCTGGGTATTTATTATTAAATAACGTACATACATCTTTCTACGTACGTGTTTTGTCTCCACAACCAATCATTATTAAAACTTAAATTCTTTGCGTTTCAGTCAGCTTCATGTTGATAAATACAAAAACTTTTTGAAAACGTCCACCATAATACTATTAACCACTTGATAGAAAGCGAATTAAGTTGAATGTCAATGTAGCAATTTTGATAAGGTAACTAGATTCGTTTTAGAAAAAGTAAAAAGATAAGATTTAAAAATAATAAAGAAATAATATACAAAACTAAATTACGTCGGTGGAGGACACCTAATTTGGTAGAATATTTTTGAATTATTTTGCTGTGAAATTGTCATTAAATTCTTTTTTATTATTATTATTATTTTGTTAGATTAAGCACTTAATTACAAATAATTATCT